TCTTTGGGCGGAAAAGTAAACACAAGACGGATGTCACAGCCTGACATGGAATCCATTTTCACAAAAATAATCTATGAAATATTCTGGTTATAGGAAACTATTATGTGAATTTTGAAAATTATCAAAATCTAATGCTTTAAACCTCCTCGGATACTAAACGAACACTGATGCATCTATTCTTGTTTACAAATTCAATATGTACGCAGAGTATACGCGACCGCAATTAACTTTCCTTGCATTGGTACCTTGGAATCTAAATATACAGGGTTATCCACAAAAACATTAAATTTTAAATACGACCTAAAACTCTTTAAACATGACTATTCCAAGGTTGAATTATGTCATTTGCCTTAAATATAGATTTTTATGGTATTGTGCCGCCCTTCACTAAAACACACTAATTCTTTGGTTAGTCTCACAGACTATGATATATATATATATGAATACGACTGCTCATCAAGAATGGAAGGCAAGGAAAGTTTATTGCGGTTGTGTATACTCTGCGTACATAATGAAACCAGTTCTCTTTGGGCGGAATTTGTAAACAAGAATAGATGCATCAGTGTTCGTTTAGTATCCGAGGAGGTTAAAAGCATTAAATTTTGATAATTTTGATAATTCACATAATAGTTTCCTATGAGCAGAATATTTCATTGATTATTTATGTGAAAGATGGATCCCATATCAGGCTTTGACATCCGTCTTGTGTTTACATTACCGCCCAGAGACAGTACACTGCAGTACAAAAGATGTGTACACTTCTGAAATAACTTTCATTGCATTACATCCTTGCTGCTCATCAGCTCTCAAAGGCTAGGCTAAGCAGGCGTATAGTTGTACCGGCACGACATGCTACATTTCCACGAAAGGTTTTTCGGCTAACGGCCACTGCACTTGTTGTGTTAAGTTTTACAACTATTTAAAGAAACTCTCTAACTTTTAAAATAAAACATAAAATTTATAAATTTAGTCTATTTAAGGCTAGTCTAAAGGTTTTGTATTTCGAATCAAAAGGATCCTTAAATACAGGAAATACAGACGTCTCTTTGTACACAATGGAACCTGGTGTGAAAAATATCGCATTCTAGCCTTTAATAGATCCCTGTACTCTCTTATGTTTGGTTGGTGTACTTTAAATTTCACAGTAAGCACAGAAAGCTTAGGTAAGGGTAGGATGTAATGCAAGGAAAGTTATTTCAGAAGTGTACGCATCTTTTGTACTGCAGTGTACTGTCTCTGGGCGGTAATGTAAACACAAGATGGATGTCACAGCCCGACATGGGATACATCTTTCACATAAAAAATCAATGAAATATTCTGGTCATAGGAAACTATTATGTGAATTATCAAAATAATCCAATTTCATGCTTTTTAACCTCCTCGGATACTAAACGAACACTGATGCATCTATTCTTGTTTACAAATTCATCCCAAAGAGAACTGGTTTCAATGTGTACGCACTACGCAGAGTATACACGACCGCAATTCACTTTCCTTGCATTACACCCTTGAGCTAAGGTTGCCCCCTCATCTCCTCTTTTTCTCTGGAGCCCTTCCTTCATTTCCCTTAGATATTATTGATAATATCAAATAGATATGAATATGATTAAACAATTTTATATATTATATGTTCTTTGATGTAATAATATTATCTTTACTTTTATATAAAAATATATACATAATATATATAAAAAATATTTTCTATTTCTGACAAAGATTATATATAACATTTAGAAAGTACGTACAATTTCCCCAAGAAAAAAGAAAAATAAACTTATATTTAAAAAAACTCATATCCCCTGAAATGTAAACTCTTTTATCAAAATCCAAAAATGTTTGTTACACCTTTGAAACATATCAAATAATTATTACAAAAATTCGATTTCTTCTTTAATTGGTATTTTTCTCAGGATCAAATTACAGACCCGTGATAATATTGTGGTTGAATTCCCACGGTTCTGTAGACTTTCAGTGTCTGAGTATACTCAGATAAGGGGAGGAAGGCCAACCACAACAATTTCTCTTCCGAGCCACCTATGAATCCTCGTCCTTCGATTATTTTGTGTTAAAAAGTTTCCAATTCTTGAAGATAAAACTATTTACAAAAATCTGGCTTCGTTACGGCATAAAATATTGATGGATTAAAGTATAAGTATTGCAATGATTATATCATATTGGAATCTTCAAACCCAGGAGAATGATTTCAAACTTTATTTAGGTAAGACTTAAATCTCTTCTGCCTCCGTAATGACTAACCTTCGCGATAAAAAAAAAACAGCAAAAGATTCGGCATACCTCTGCCGATAATTTTTCCCATGGAACCACCCGGAAAATTTCTATGGTTTTCACTATATTTAACAAAAAAGATTGAAGTTCTATAAAACCGGAATTATTTGCGGCATTCTACACCAGAAATATCTGAAAATGCGCGTAAAAAATATGAACATTTTTAAAAGCATTAAACTTGAAATCTTTAATCCAATTAAAACTTTTTTTTGATTTACAAAAATTTGATATTTCATTTATGCCCTAACGTGGTCCGATTCTTTAAAAATGGTTTTATCTGGAAGGATTAGACACTTAACACAAATAATATTGAAAGGACGAGGACTTTGAGGTGGCTCGGACGAGAAAATGAGGAGAATGTGGCTCAGACGAGAAATTGTTGTGGTTGGCCTTCCTTCCCTCCTCAGATAACAGACGGTCTTAATTATCTTTATAACCTAATACAGTCTATATATGTTTGGTAAATAACAAATGAAGAAAAACAACTCTTATCTTATACAGGGTTACCCACAAAGGATGAGACTGTAAAGACGACATGAAACTCATTAAATTAGAAGATTCCGAGGTTAAGTTAAGTCTTTAGCCTTGGATAATATCTTTTACGGATTAATTAATGAATAGGCAAAGCAAGAAACAAGTTAACATTGCAGGAAATCATAAATAAAAGGAAACAGACAGCATATATTCTGTACAATTGTCTCTGAAGTCTCATCCTTTGTGGGTAACCCTGTATATAAAGCATAGCGGAGAAATATGATCTTGGTAAGATTGTGTGATAAAGTTAACCAGAAAAAAACTTAGAGACATGATACATTATAGAGCGTGTCCGATATATAACAATATCCTTTAAACGTCCGCTATATTTCCAAAAAATGGATTCCCTTTAAACCTTTCTCTTTGCAAAAATGATGGAGATAACCTACATGCTTTCAAATGTTGTTTTTAATACTTTCAAATCACACTTCTGATGCTTTACTACGCTGTCAAAGCATCCAAACTGTTGAAATTGAAAGACCATCTGTAAGCTAATTTTTTCAACTGTGTGGTTCCTCATAAAAGTGGCGTTTGGATTAATGAATAAGGGAAGGACAGTAAGCGAGTTTTTATCTTTTTAAACCCGATTTACAACGTTTCCCATTGAAACCTTCATCTGATTAACAATGTGAAAGATGTTTTCGTTTTATAGGTTTAAAATTGTTTTATTCTAAATACATTTTCCTGCAGTATAGAGACAATTGAAAAGCTTTTCAGGGTTGGCATCTTTTTATGGAGGGTTACTTCAAATTACGCTTACAGTCCCTTTAATTGTCGAGGAGGTCATTTTCTGTCAAGAGAAACAAATTTGAGGGAAGTTAACCCTTATCCATGGACAGCTGCACTTTCAGTTTAAATTGCACCCTGCGACCGACGGGTTTCCCTATGCTCTAGCACCCTCTTACGTGAAGCGATCCGACTGGCAAGCACATTTTTGAACAGCAGAGAGCCTGCCTATACGCACAATTTCAAAAGATGTAATGGCATGGGCAATACCGGATACAATTCTGCCGAATTATTTATTTATGCATATATCTACATATTGCAGGTATACTTGTTTATCTGCAAAAAGAGAGCAAAGGTTAGATTCAAGAAATATTAAAATCAGGAATCCCACCAAACAATTATAATTGCAGTTGGGAACCGTTCAAACTTTTTTTAATCGGTTAGTTGAAATTTCTAACCGTTTCTAAAAGGTATTTCCTGTTCTTCCTTAATACTAGGCCGTTCTTAAATGATCTTATTTTTTTTAACGGCGTTAACGAAAGATATTTAAGAAAACGTTGACGGTGCTATGTAAAAATGGCGGTCAGAATTAGAAGACGCAATTAAAAAAAATCTGAACACGTAATGGAAAACATTAAAACGTTTATTTTTTCTTTTGTAAGTTTCATGCATGCAGTTTTAGGCGGACAAATTAACGAAAGTAGCTTTTATTACACATGCTTTCATTCTTATTTATTTTCAATTGATTTTTTCATGAATGGTTATTTTCATTTGAATACGATTTTAAAATTAACGGATTTAGGCGTTGTTTCAATTTCGTGGAAGAGAAATAATGCGTAATTCTGACTTGAAACTGTAAAAGTTTATTTCGCGAAATTTTCCAGAATTATGAAAATAAGTAAAAAAAGTAATTTCACGTTGTTACGAACAAATTTTGTGAAATACGTGACCCAGGGCTTAGTTGAATAATGTTTATCTCCATTTTGTGCGGGAGTAATGTACAAATATTTGAAAGTTCCTGGTATGAATATTTCTTGGATAGGATTTGTAGTATTGTGAATATATCAATATAAAACCTATGTGCACTGCAGATAAATACATTCAAAAAGATGGTAACCAAATAGTGATGTTATAAATAAAAAGAACCACCTTTTGGGCCCAGGACATTGGTTAACCCTCAATTTTCTTAATGAAGTCATGCACCTCTGCCCAAGTGTTATTGTGAACGAAAAACTTCTAAATCTTGAAAAGACGACATTTAGCATTACATCTGTATTGTCATGGATCTAAAAACAAATCCTAAAGAATGATACTAAACTTCTAATTTTTCTAACAAATGATGGCCCAAATCCAAACCAAGCATCTTTCCCCAAAACCTTGCAAGATAATAGAAATTCAAATAAGATATTTTCTAAAAGTTATAAAATGTCGGATAACTAGGTCATTTTATTGTAATGTCTAGAACGGTTCTTGGACAGGGTGGTTCACAAAAAAAAACATACATGAAAAAAAATAATGAATGTCAAAAAAAATAATTACTTAACATATTAATCTCCCTAGAGGGGAAACTTGAATCCGTTGAAATCCATTTTAAATAGCACCCTGTAGTTTAAACAGAGTATTTCGGCCTTACATATATTTAGCAAAAAGAAGTTAAAAATCTAAAAGAATGATAATAACCTTCTCATTTTCTCAAGTATCATCATTATAAAGAGATATTATGGGAATACATTCTTTTTAAAGATAATCAAGCTAAGGTTTAAATAGTACAGATTCCACTAGTACGGATTCCTCTAGTACAGATTCTTCTGGTACAGATTCTTCTAGTACAGATTCCTCTAGTACAGATTCCTTTAGTACAGAATCCTCTAGTACAGATTCCTCTAGTACAGATTCCTCTAGTACAGATTCCTCTAGTTCAGAATCCTCTAGTACAGATTTCTCTAGTACAGATTCTTCTAGTACAGATTCTTCTAGTACAGATTCCTCTAGTACAGATCCCTCTAGTACAGATTCCTCTAGTACAGATTCCTCTGGTACAAAATCCTCTAGCACAGATTCCCCTAGTACAGATTCTTCTAGTACAGATTCCTCTTGGACAGATCCCTCTAGTACAGATTCCCCTAGTACAGAATCCTCTAGCACAGATTCCCTTAGTAAACAGATTCCTCTAGTACAGATTCCTCTGGTACAAAATCCTCTAGCACAGATTCCCCTAGTACAGATTCTTCTAGTACAGATTCCTCTTGTACAGATCCCTCTAGTACAGATTCCCCTAGTACAGAATCCTCTAGCACAGATTCCCTTAGTATACAGATTCCTCTAGTACAGATTCCTTTAGTACAGATTCCTCTAGTGTAGATTCCTCTAGTACAGATTCCTCTAATACAGATTCCTCTAGTACAGATTCCTCTAGTACAGATTCCTCTAGTAAAGATTCCTTTAGTACAGACTCCTCTAGTACAGATTCCTCTAGTAAAGATTCTTCTAGTACAGATTCCTCTATTACAGGTTCCTCTAGTACAGATTCCTCTAATGCATATTCCCCTAGTAAAGATTCCTCTAGTACTAATCCTCTAGTACAGATTCTTCTAGTACAGATTCCTCTAGTACAGATTCCTCTTGTATAGATTCCTCTAGAACAGATTCCTCTAGTACAGATTCCTCTAGTACAGATTCCTTTAGTACAGATTCCTCTAGTACTAATCCTCTAGTACAGATTCTTCTAGTACAGATTCTTCTAGTACAAGATTCCTCTAGTACAGATTCCTCTAGTACAGATTCCTTTAGTACAGATTCCTCTAGTACAGATTCCTCTTGTACAGATTCCTCTAGTACAGATTCCTCTAGTACAGATTCCTCTAGTACGGATTCCTCTATTACAGATACCTCTAGTACAGATTCCTCTAGTACAGATTCCTCTAGTACGGATTCCTCTATTACAGATACCTTTAGTACAGATTCCTCTATTACAGATACCTTTAGTACAGATTCCTCTAGTACAGATTCCTCTAGTACAGAGTCCTCTAGCACAGATTCCCTTAGTATACAGATTCCTCTAGTACAGATTCCTTTAGTACATATTCCTCTAGTACAGATTCCTCTAGTACAGATTCCTCTAATACAGATTCCTCTAGTACTAATCCTCAAGTACAGATTCCTCTAGTATAGATTCCTCTAGTACATATTCCTCTAGTACGGATTCCTCTAGTACGGATTCCTCTAGTACGGATTCCTCTAGTACGGATTCCTCTATAGTACGGATTTCTCTAGTACGGATTCCTCTAGTACAGAAAACAGAAAAAAGCGCGAATTTCTTAGTTTATAATTTGAAATAAGAAAACAATGGCGGCGTATAAGACAACATTTGTTACTAGGAAAAAGGATGCTAAGCGTCTGAAGCGCCTATAATTTAGTGGTTGAATTTTGCTTTCTCGAATTTAGAAACGCTATCGTTTCTTTTATCTCAACATCAAATTATAGAATGGAATGAGAAAATCCATGGAACCCAAGAAACTAAATAGATTTGAAGAAAAGAAAATTTCTGTCACAATTCCAATAATGATGAAAAATTCAATATTTTCACCCCCCCCCCAGCAGGAATAGGGTTAAAATATAATCTGCACGTTACTTTCTCAAGAACATGAGAATACCAAATGAAAATTGGAGATTCTATATTCTCGACTCTTATAATTTATGATTTTAAAATAGGAGTATGCAATAATTAGATTCCTTGATTGGGTCACCACTATCAGGAGTATGCAATAATTAGATTCCTTGATTGGGTCACCACTATCAAGAGTATACAATAATTTGATTCCTTGATTGGGTCACGACTATCAGGAGTATACATTAACTTGATTCCTTGATTGGGTCACCACTATCAAGAGTATACAATATTTAGATTCCTTGATTGGGTCACCACTATCAGCATACTAAAAATAAACTTGTCCACAGTTTTATGAGTCTCTCCTTGTTCACTCCGGTTCATTTTAAGTACAGGGGAGACTTTTAAGTAGCTAGAGCAAGCTGTACAATACACATACAGACTAAATTAGGCAATATGGGAGTTGGACAGTACACCAAATGAACCAGTCCCTTCTGGGTAGATTATAATGCTATCTATGTATGAATATATATACATGTATTTATATTTAAAGTCTGAAAGTTAATGGATTTAGAATTTGAACGAGGATTGTAAATTCCAACGAAATGGGATTTTAAGCCGGATAACTGTGTTCGAATGTAAAAGATGACTTCTATATGCATATTAGATTATACTGGCTATATTTTAGATCAAATAAAAATACAGAGTTGAAGGAAAAACTTTTAAATAATGTATTTAATACGAAAAGTTATTCTTATTGGTCGGTAGGAGTTTACTGTGCAGATGGCAAATCTAGGGCTTTCTCAATAGATTGGAAGATTTAAGTCTCAAAAACTTTCCAGAAGAAATTCTGCGCCAAAATATATTTCGAAGTGTATTATTGATACAAATGATAATGATAATGATAATGATAATGATAATGATAATGATAATGATAATGATAATGATAATGATAATGATAATGATAATGATAATTATAATGTAATGATAATTATAATGATAATGATAATGATAATGATAATGATAATGATAATAATGATAATGATAATGATAATGATAATGATAATGATAATGATAATGATAATGATAATGATAATGATAATGATAAGGATAAGGATAATGATAATGATAATGATAATGATAAACAAAAGAAGTGTTGGCATTTTTATGACTTTTTGAAAATTGACAGAATTGTCCGAAGATGCAATCCATGTTTTTTCTTTTTAAAACCTGATTATTTCAGGGTAAGAAAGTTTCAAACCGTGATTTGGTCCAGACCTGAGTATCAGGTTTAGGCCAAAGAAAGAAAGTTATATTTTTGAAAACACTATATGCTAAAATAAATATTGTTGAGGGATTCATGATATTTTGGGAATCAGGAAAGTGAGTTTTGTTTTGAATTTGATAACTCTTCAACTATGAATTGTTACAAAATTCGGTTTCTGTTCCAAAACGAGTCCAAATTAAAATTTGTCCAAAAATGAAAAACCAAGTTTAGTTCTGAGTATTGTAAGAGGTTTTTATTAAAAGTAAATAATGATATTTTTAGTTCTTGTCATGCTTTATAATTAGAAATAGTTTACCTAAGTCAAGTTAAATGAAATTCGCCCTGGACACCGTAAGAGTTTCTAAATCAATGATTTTACCATTTGTTCCCAAACCTGGCACTAAAGTGTAAAGTTTGGGATGTAGTAAATGCCATACTCCAATAGGTATCTGTCTTACAAGATACAACTCAATCAAGAACTACAGGTCGCTTAATAATATGTTAGTCAATATCAAACCGGATATGAGTCTATCAGTATTCTCAGGTATCTGTCTTACAAGATACAACTCAATCCCAAACACAGGTTGCTCAATAATACTTTAGTCAATATCAAACTGGAAAGGACTCTATTAAGTATATCCTAGACTATATCTGTCTTTCAAGACTCAAAGCTCAAGTCCCTCTCCTTTCGCTACATGAGACATATAATTACTCTAATATCATAATCAAAGCAGAGTTTTATTCCAACTAACTTATATTTTGAGTTCTATGTAGGGTTTCCAGGGAAAGAAATGTTTTGCGGAAAAATGCGAAAATTTTCGGTTGCATTTTGCAAACTTATTCGCATTTTTTTGCAAAAATATGAATGCAAAAATTTCACGAAAATGCAAAAAAATGTTCGAAAAATGCGAAAATTTTGTGAAAACCATGAGTTTATAGCTCCAACAAATAATTGCTTAAAAGAACTTGTGGCTGCTCGGATAGCTCAATAATTGAAGTTTTATTATGGCATATAAATAATTTCTCTTAATTACTTTAATAAATGTTTGATGAAGAGAATTTGATTTCACTAGCTATCTTTTTAAATTTCTGTCTTTATTTTTATTTATTTTTTTGCTAAATTTTTGCATTTTCTATTTCGCAAAAATTTCACATTTTTTTCGGGAAATTGATTGAAGCTTATTTTCACGAAAATTTTCGCATTTTTTGTGAGCGAACAAAATGTGAAAATGAAGCGAAATGGTCGTGAAAATTTTCTTTTGCAACAAATACAAAATTTTCCCTTTCGCTAAAAACCCTAGTTCTATGGTACAGGTTACATAAATGAACGTAATTACAAGTTTTACGTAGTTATTTATAAGCTTAGTTAGGTTTAATCCCAATACAGGTTTGTCATAGTTATCTACACGCGTAGTTAGGTTACAATGTACAACATAATATATTTAGGTGTGTTCAGGTTTATAAATATGGGGTTTGCTACGATATTTATTACAGGAACATAAGCACTGGTTTGAACTTGTGTCTTCAATTGTGGTTACTCTACTAAAGTTTTTTGCACCGAATTTAACGTTTTCAAGCTCACAAGTAACAAATGATATCTTATTTGATCCAATAAAAGTTTTAAGGGCACTGTTGTGAATCGGACATGCCGTTTTTTATTTAGGCTCAGTTCTAACGACAGAGAGTGTAAAAGAGGGGTTAAGAACCAATACCCCCCTCATGGTGTAAATATACAGTTTAGTTTTAAAGTTTGATCAAACACTCCTCATAATAAGTTTTCAGAGGATAGATATATTGAAGATACCCGCAGGGGGAAATCTATACTATATATATATATATATATATATATATATATATATATATATATATAGGGTGTCCCAATAAACATTGAAAAATTGAACAAAATTGAATGGCAACTTTAAGAACGCCTTTGATAAAAATCAGGAGTAGTACAGTTATGTCCGCCGCAATGTGAACTAGACAGAAGGAAAAGGTATGCGGCCTTTGCTACCTCGTAGCTCCGCTAGTTTTAATTTTACGCACGAGTTTGATTTAGGTTACATACTAAAAATTCAAAAAAAAATAATCTTCTCAACATTTCTTCAGTAAAAGAAGTTATGTTAGAAAACTTTTCAGATATCAATCTTTCGTACAATTTACTTTAGTTTGACGTGTCTGATGTACATTTGTAAAGGCATACACAAGGTGATTAAGCTTCTCTAGGACTCTCTCCGATGTGTTAAAACTGTTAGTCGCAAAATATATTTCAAACCTGAAACAAGGATGATTTAATTACAATGTTTCTGGAGTTACAAAATGCGAGTATTTGTTTTAATAAAAAAATAGCAAATGATCAACTTTAAGAAACACAAATGGTAAAGGATACAGTTTAAGGTTGTTGAATGAGCGGGGTATATATTTATAAACTGTTAAGTTGATACTATTGAAATAAAGTTCCGAACATTGTTTGTTGCTAGTATTATCATTGTATTTGAAAGGGTAACTTACTATTAGGTCTTAACACACTTGAAATAGAGAGGTGATTGATTGTAGACTAAAACATAATTGTCTTCTGAAAATAATTGCATGTTTAAAAAAAGAAGAAAGATTGTTTTCACTTGGAATTTTAACTTATTTCACTTTAACATGGACTTTGGTGTGTATGTCTCCGTCAGAGAAATAAATCCTTGGCAAACCTGGTAAAGACGACTTTCAAAGGCTCTGGGGAGTTTAAAATGATTTTGTTCAACATCATTGTACATTCTACACCTGTTTTGTATTCTAAAACTGAAAGATGTATAAATGTAATATGTCCGCAGAGTGGTAAGTGAACCTGTGTCCGAATATAATGAATTTGAGACGCGGCTTAAATCTGCCAATAACCGGTTTCAATCTTGAAAAATTGAATAAAATTTTATGTGGAACAAACCATATTTGAGCCGCGACTTAAATTCTTTAGATTCGGACTCTGGGCCATTAACCTCAAATAAAAGAAAATTGCTGATGTAAGAAGAAAATTTTGTTTGTTTCAATCATTTCTCCTCTTATTGTAAAGAGTTTGAGCAGAACAAAGATGTTTTGAATTTCTAATACAGTTCACCCCAGAGATTTTGAGTATTCAAAAGAATTTACAAAATGTCGTCTTGCCTATTTTTCAGTCGGTTTTAAACGATTATACGTAAATCTCATTAATTGAAAAAATAAATAAATAGCCATGAATATACAGGAACAGATTTAAAGAGCTCCAAATAATCATTTAATTGAAAAACTAAATATCTGCAGCATTCCATTATCAGAAAGTGAAGAATACGAGATTTTATAAATTCTTCCGATGTCTCTTTATATTTGAACCTAACTGTATACCGTATAAAGCTTTTCTCACACGTGTGGCGTAAAATCAAAGCTATAGGAGCTACGAAATCACAATGTTGCACCAGTGATATTGCATATTTGCCCTTCTTCTTCTGTATGGTCACTTCAGAGTGCACTGGAAGTTTCTTATTTAACACATAATGCTTTGCAATCTATACAAAAATAAACTCTAGCACACCAAACAGTCTCGGTAAAAGTTAGTCAATTCCCGTGTTTACTGGGATACTCTGTGCGATATATCTGCAGGAAATATATCGAATATATAAATACTTAGGGTAGTGTATCTTCTTATATATAAGCATCTACAAATACAAATTTTATAAAGGCCTTAGAGCTGATCAATTCACATACATGGGTCAACTTTAAAGAAAAAAACTTTAACAATGACATAAAACTTTTGACATCATGTTTTCGAATCTACGGATCACGTTCAATTGACAGAAAACCTGGTTAGGGTCTAAAATCAATGACTATATTGCAATATAACCGAATGCAATCAGCACCGATTAATTGCAATTAATACACAGATACTATCAAATCAGTTCCACTTAAAATCATTTGCAATCAAGCTCTGTATCAATATGAAATTTAGTAGCAATCAAAACTAAATCTCAGTTGCAATCAAAAGTCGCGTTTGAATGACTGATAATTTTCTTCAAAACTATGCGAATGAATTGAGGCTTCGCCGCAAACTCAAGCTTTCTAATCCCTATATCTTTGCAACCTGTTGATGTAGGCTTTTGATATTTTAAAATTAGAATATTTAATCTGGAAAAGTGCTTTAATTGTCTAAACTACATTATTCCGAATGTCACACTTTATAAAAAAGATTGATTAAAGAAATCTATTTTCAAATATATTTTATGTAATAAAATTATTTTGAATGAGGTTAGGTTGGGCCGGGTTTGGTGCAATCAAACTATTGTCGTAGATGTGTTTTGAATGTAATTGTTCAGAGTAAATTGCAATCAATGATTAAATGCTCCCAACTTACTTGTACTCCGCACCAAACCATTCCTTAGTCTTCACATCCATATTTATCTTAAACTTCAAAACTAGTCTTTAAATAAAATTACCAAGAGACACTTTTAGTACATTTAAATATATACCTTCCATACCAGGGGTCAAAACCGTAGACAGAACCAGAAAACTGTGGAATAGGAAGACGACATTTAGAATAAAGTCCAATATCAAATAGTCCAGTGTAGTGTACAAATACAAAGATCCAATTGGCTAATTTGGTAATTTTCAAGCTACTAGTATAACTATTTTCTGCGTAAAGAAATCAAATACATTCATATTGATCAATGACGCCCATAGAGAATAGAATATATATTAGAGGGGAATTTATAAAATCCTTCGGTATGAATTTTTTCAATCCCTTTCAGCCTGAAAGGGAGTTCAAAGTGTACAAATCATGTAAATGTTCACAAACTATATGCAGTAGAGTATAATGTACTCTACTGCATATAATACAGTATGTTCCCTAGACTATTCATTTCAATTTCGAATTTTTTAAAGCCGTTAAATAAACTTTATAATAAATTAGGTGAATAAAAAACATCATTTGATTTACAGTTTTAACGGAAATCATCGTTTGTAAAGTGAAAGGCATGGAGTCTATGTGAAATCATCATTGCTCAATCATGAAACCAGCCTAATTCATAATTTGATTTTCTTTTAATATTAATTTTAGATTTTCTATAAAATGATGTTCCAGGGCCCAAGCGGTTATGTAGCACGAATATGTGAAGTACACCTGCAGTATGGAAACAGTACAACAAAATGGCCGTTTTACTCTTTTTTCGAGTAAATTCCCCTCTAATATATATTCTATTCTCTATGATGACGCCAGTCTTAACCTACTCCAGTTTTCTGGTTCTACTTTGGTAAACCACATTTTTCATTACCTAGGGTTCTTCAAGGCCACATTCCATGAGGCCTAAATATCACCCAGCAAATTCACCTATTTGTAGCGAATTCAGAGAAGATTAGTAAGGTGTGCCAAATTTTGATAGATTTAGCTAACAACTTGATATTTCCCTCTAAAAATTAATTTTCTTAGATTTAGCTAACAACTTGTTATTTTCCTCTAAAAATTAATTTTGCTACATTTAGCTAACAACTTGTTATTTCCCTCTAAAAATTAATTTTGTAAGATTTCGCTAACAAGTTGTTATTTTTCCTCTAAAAATTAATTTAGTTAGATTTAGCTAACAACTTGTTATTTTTCCTTGTTAGATTTAGCTAACAACTTGGTATTTTTCCTCTAAAAATTTATTTTGTTAGATATGACTGACAGCTTGTTATTTCACTCTAAAAAATAATTTTGTTAGATTTAGCTAACAAATTGTTATTTCACTCTAAAAATCAATGTTGTTAGATTTAACTAACAACTTATTTCCCTCTAAAAAATAGATTCCAATGATATATTTATAAATAGAACAAATTGGGTAACTTCAATTATTACAAATTATAGATAGTACTTCTATTAACTAGAATTATTTATTAAATTACAATAACACACTAAATAAGTTAAAGCACTATAAAGTTAAATGATATTACAGCACTGTCAGTTCAAAGAGGAAGTTTCAAACAACATTTTTTTTACAAAATAATTGATAAATTATTCAAATTTGTATGTACGTCCAAAATGTGGCAATTCTTGGGGAAAATTGAAATAATTCTACCTTAGAAATATTTCCTATTGGTTTGCTCCGCATTTGATTCGAAGAACTTCAGTATAAAAAATTCATTAATTTCCCCCAAAGTTATCGATCTTCTGTCTTTTCATATTTTTGATTTTTTGGCTGAGTTTTGTGTAGAATATTTGAACTCAAAATTTGTAGCGACTAGGTAAACCTTATCAATAAAGGGACAGTACAGAATACAGATAAAAATTAACATTGCAAGCAGTCTCTTTAAAGACTTCAAATGAAACATGGCAAGATGGATAATGACTAGCAAACATAAAAGAATCAAATTACAAAAATTTAAAGAACAAGTCAGCTAATTAACAATTTAAAGTTTTCTAAATATAAAGTTGGTGTAATAATTAACTATAATTAATGGACAAGTCAGCTAATTAACAATTTCAGAATGAAATGGGTGTAATTATTAACAAGGTTAAGTAATTAAAAAAAAGCATAAAATTGGAAATTTAGAAGAACATAAGATTCTAGATTGGGAGGACATATTTTTCTAGATTTGAGTGAAAATGTGGCTCAATATGTATTCATTTATATAGAAAAACTAAATCAGTTGCACCCAGCAACAGTTATTCGATGAAAAAACGAACTTTCTCTTTTACAAAGGTTTTATCTAATATTATATATTTGTTAATATGAGGATTAGACATTTGAGAGATTTAATAAATATCGATTTTGAGGTTTAATTAAAGAATCAAATATGAGAACAATATCCTTAGTTAACAATAATCTAGATAAAAATGTAAACATTATGCTTTACAATTATTTTATAGTTGTCGGGATTATACCCCCACCTTCAATTGGGGGTAGGGTTTGGGATTAAAAATTGTAGGAAAGTTGACATAATTTTCAAAGTAAACAAGAATAATAAATTTAAGTCCTATTATAGATAATAGTAGATGGAGGTAAATAAGGTTGACATAATGAAATAATAAATATAATAAATAAAGTTTGGGGAAAATAAATAATAAAAAAATCCTTGAAATTTTGATTCTTCTGTTTCTTATTGCATCTATGGATCTTGATTTTAATTTTCTGATCCATCTGTTTATTTATGAATCTATGGATTTGATTCATCTGTATATTTATAAATGTATAATATCAAAATTTAATACTTGCTTCATCTGTTTATTTATGAATATATGGATCTTGTTTTTAACATTCTGAATCATCTGTTTATTTTTGAATGTATCGATCTTAAATTTTAATACTTGCTTCATGTTTATTTGGGAATCTATGGATTTTGATTTTCATACTCTGATCCCTCTACTTATTTGCAAATTTATGAATCTTAATATTAATATTTTGATTCATCTGTTCATTAAAGAATCTATGATTCTTAAATTTTAATACTTGCTCCTAGCCCCTGAAGATATTTTCTTGGTTTGTTCTCCAAAACTGTCAGATTTGTTGAGAATACCGCTCACTTTCCGCCTAAACACAAATATTATTATTTAAGATGTCTTAACAAATCTAGAAAATGAAGAATTAAAAGGACAGTATGTGTAATTTCAAATGACCCTCCATGCAAAGATGTCAATGCCCGATTCACAACGATATTATTACAAGCTATGTTTCATCAAGAATGAATGAGATATCAATGTTCATAATTTAGTAAACTGATTATTTTTAATTGTGGGTTTTCCACACAAGTGTCTGGCTCAATTTTACTAAAAAAAAATAAGACTAAAAGGTTCAAAAACTTTTCAAACTAGAAAAATAAGAATATCTTCCACATAATTGATCAGATAAAGGTTTCAAGATTTAACGTTGTAAATCGGGCATTTTCATCTCTGCATGGAGGGTTACTTGAAATTACGTTGGTTTATGGTCCCTTATAAAACTGTATAATTCAGTTAATTAAGAAAAGTAAAAAATTCTAATAGCATTATTATCATTAGAGAAAATTCACTTTAGCTACTAGCTAAACCACAACGTCCTAGCTTTCGCTTGATAAATGCATTAAGCCATAGTTGACACATTTTCTATTTGTCGAGGTTATTAAAGGTCATTAGATGTCATTAGTGTCCAATTTTATCTTATTTTAGGACATTCGAACACAAATTAGTTTGTTTTTAATCTTTGTGACAGAAACAATCTCAAGAACTGACGAGGGTCAACCCAGACCGAAATATATTTTCAATAAATGTGGAACTAACATCTACTTTTGTTACTCTACAGAGGTTTGGTCCATCACCATCACCGAATTTTAAAACAAATTAGGCGTGCAGCATCTATCCCCTTTCACAAAAATGGAAATTTATTTTTTGAGAAATAGCTAAATTATTTAGAAATTAAGGGATTTTTGGCCGATTCAAGTTTTCATCAGAAGAATTAATTCAAACGATGCAGTTACTTTTTGCAAAATTATGTTAAAATAATTAAAAGAGCATTAAAAATTTGCTTTTGAACGAGAACTTCAACACTTGTCACGACTCGTTTAAACCACAAGCATTTAATTTTAAAGTTTACATCTCGTTTTAAGTAATCAAAATCTAGTTCTAATTTTCCACGCTTGTCAACTCTAGCTATACACAACAAAATTGTAATTGAAACACATATTATAATTTTTAATCAATGGCAACCCATTGTTCTAGCTCATAATTAAACTTAATTAATCTCTTGAATATCCTCCATAGCTTTCATTAGCTCTCGATAACATTCACTCTGCTATATATTCCTAGGAATGCATAGCAGAGACAAAGCAAACCATCGGGGGGCTCCCCCTTCATTCATATTTACCATAATGATGATCCTTCATGAATGAATGGGTGACAAAAATGGTTGCATGGCTCAAACTTGGTCGTGTTGCTGGGATTTCGTCACCAAATATTGGNAAGGTTTTGCAGAGAGTCAAATCAAGACGACATTCAAGTCGTCCTGCATACTGTCATGTTTCGTGGGACACCCTGTATATTGATTTTCAACAGTTTATAATACAATTATGATTGCATTTATTTATTAAATTTTTGTCATTTTGAAGTTGAGAATATTTAATAATAATTCGAAGTTAAATAAGAGAGAAATTAGATTCCAAAAATTATTTTAATAAATATTTCTAAAATTATGATAAAAATCCAGACATAAAAACCATAATGATAAAAAATCAGTGAAATTAGCATTCTTGAATTTTTCAGCAAATTCTGTGAAATTATCATAAAAATGTGTGAAACTATTGTAAAATCTATTATATTAACATAAAATGTGTATGTTGATTAACATATAAATCACCAAAAAAATTTGTCCAGAGGCCGAATTTAAAGAATTTGAGCCGCGGTTTAAATTTAAATCGCGGCTTAAATTTAAACCGCGGCTCAAATTACGGTGGTTCCACTGAAATTTGTATTAAATTTTTCAAGATTTAAGCTGGCGCTCAATTTAAACCGGTTTTTGGGGAATTTGAGACACGGCTTAAATTCATTAAATTCGGACACAGGAATGTTATAAAAATGTTAACTTTAAATCACAAAAAACCCATAAAATTGATAAAAATCTGTAGAACATCATAAATCATAGATATATCATACAAGTTTGTACTTACTGGAGAGTTTTTGTTACCACAATAATTTATTTCTATCATATATATTGTGACAATAATACAGCCTGAACTAAACAATATTAACTAGACAAATAGATGTACAGATCTACGTATTCTTCACGATAAAAGAAAAAAGAGAGAAAATATTGTATTTTAAACTGGCAAGATCCCAACTTTTTTTTAACGTTTCAACTTAAAATTCCCAAAACATTAAAATATACTGGGGGTGATTTTTCAAGAAAATATTTACCCCTGAAGGTTTGCGAGAAAGATAAAAATAATAAATAAAGATAAATATCTATTCTAGTATTCCTGGTAGGTTCTCTACATTTATTTATTTAGTTACTGCATGGCTCAAACTTGGTCGTGTTGCTGGGATTTCGTCACCAAATATTGGAATTTAACCTTTAACTATAGATACATTGCAAAAGTCGGAAATGAATTCATATCCGGGCTGAAAACCCATTTCTCATTCAGGAATTGAAACTCTAGGCTGAGAAATGGAGCCTAAAGCTTCCCCGACATTCATGATTTGTTTTCATTTGATCAGTTTAATTGAATTACTCTCAGGTTGGGCTAATCATGTTTTCTAATAAAACAATCTCTGTTATTAGTGGAAATACACAGCTTAGATTGGAATTTAAAAATAACTCCATTTCACAACTTTTACGAAAGATTTTTATCCCCATACCTAATTTAAGATCTCCGATTAAAAAAAATATTTTTTTTAGCGGTAGAGACCAGCTAGACATGGTAATTGAGCTGAAAGTGCAGTATAGTAGAGAAAAACTTTAGGAGACATTTTATTGTAAACAATCAAATATGAATCCTGAAGTTTTTCAGTACAATACTGCACTTTCAGTTCAAGTACTATGTCTTGTCGGTCTCTCTCGTTAATGGATCTTAGATTTTTTTTGTAATCAAGAGTTAGTAGATAGTAGGGGAGTTTCAATAGAAGGGATGGTATAATTAGATGGCAGGGGTTTAAATAGAAGGAATAGTAATACGGAGTCAAAAAATAATGAAAAAGCCAGGGAGAGGGAAGGGGAAAAGAGGGAAGGTGAAGAGAAGAGAAGGGAATCCCTTCCTCCCTTCACATCCCTTCATCACTCCCCCTCCTCTTCCTCCTCCTCCTACCTGGTATTAGTCTCCTCCCCCTCCTCCTCCTCTGATACAACGATGACGGCGTTGAAGACGATCAAGGAGAGAATCTTATCCAAAGGATCCATAAACCCGCGCTGAAATATCAAATAATTACAGGGGTGTATATTTATCAGAATTTAAAAATGATTTTTGAATATTTGGAAAAAAATGAAATATTGGGCATCAAAAGGCAAGTTTTTTTTTGCATGCTTTACCCAAAAGAATATTTTCCCCCTGGCAAATTATGTTACATAAGTTTCAAAAATAATAATAATCTTTTTTCCAAAATTTCTGTGTTGAATGTGATAAAAAATATTGAAGCTCCAACTGGACAAATACCTGAATACGACTTTGTTTGTAATGTGATTATGGATAAAGAAATTCTAATATTTAATGTTTTACTTTTGAATACTGTTCTTAGATTTTAAGAAAAGGAAAATGAAAATGGAATCCCAGCTGGAAAAAATAGATATTTCTGTTCGGCTTAGATTTTCTTAAAAAAAACATTCTCCCACCATATGTATATTAGGTATTATCTTTTTAAGGAGAATAAACAAATAAAAGAATAGATGTTAGTTACAAAAAGAATTTAAAAAAATTCCTTTTTCCCGGGAAGGGTGAGTTAGATTCGAAATAATGAAAAATCATTCATTTCCACTGTAAAGTGTATATTCTTTAAGTTCTTGTTTATAATATTGTGTTTACATGAACTAAGTAAATTATATATTCTTAAAGTTCTTGTATATAATATTGTATTTACATGAACTAAGTAAATTATATATTCTAAAAGTTCTTGTATATAATATTGTAATATATTATATAGTAAGCTAATGAACCTTATTATCGTTAATTATGACTAGAATATGAGGTTTCAAAAGAATTATTTCTAAAATATCAACATTTTTGTTTCTTGTAGAGTAGAAAGAAAAATTTCTAAGAGCCCTAAGATCTATTCATAATTTATTATGCGCAGATTTTTTTTGGTTTCACCCCTAGCGGTCGTTGTTCACCCACCTAAACAAAACCGGTATTAAAAAAAATTAAGTTTTAAAAACTTTATTTACCCGATAAAGTAACATATTTTTAAATTAATTTTTCAAGGGTTTTTCAAAAATGTAATTTCGAGATCTGTAGCTTAAATGACAAAAGTTTATGGTCTATCTTAACCTTTCCCTGCTGGGGTACTTGAAAACCAGGATACACTGGGGGAGACCCCCCTTAAATCCTACGTTTGATGTCCAAATATTACAAATGATACATAATTGGAAAACTCTTATTCTATACTTTCAGAATCTGCAAAAAAATGCAAATTTGCAAAAAACATTCTGCAGTAAAAATGTTTGTGTCAGAAAATGATAAAATATGATAGTTGTATGCAAATAATTCCCCCGTTTTAACTTCATAGTTGTGAACAAATTTTGCAAAAAAAAAAAATATGTTATGCATATGATAGGGTAGAGGACAGTCAAACGACGGGTCGGTGTTAAAAAAAAATAGAAATGGTTAATATTTTTTTATTAATTAACCTACATGACTAACATTTATATATTTGAAAAGCCATTAAGAATGGATGTATATTAATATGTGTCCCATGTTAATATTTGTCAAAGTAAAAATATTTATTTTTGAACATTTTTCCAACATACTTTTTGAACTTTTTAAAATCCTCCTTTGCACCCTAACCATTAAAGATAGAGGTCTACATTTTTTTACTAGGGACAGGGACATTGTATCACACTCCCCTATTTCAACTCTAAGGGAAATATCAAAGGGGAGACAAAAAAGCCCAACCGGGATCATGGTTACAAGTAAAAATATTTCTATGAGAAATTGTTCCAAATCCTGCAGTGCACCCCCCTTTCCTAAACATTGTTCCCTCTTTAAATTATCTGTTCCCACTGGAACACTGCTCCCCCAAATATCCAACCCTGTGAACTTTACTCAATTAACTTTGGGTCAAATAACTCAGATATGGATTTTAAATATAACCCCGATAATTAAATTAAAGTCTAATGAAAGAATTTGGGAAATTCTCATAAAATGGACAAACTGCCAATTGATCAAAAAATAATATAAATGTAAGTTTAATATATTAGACCTCTAGGGGAGGGGCTAAGGGCATGTCTAGGGAATACACAGGGTTGTCGGCCCCCCCCACTACGCCCCTGGGCTTGTTTAGGAGGGACTAGGGAGGTGCAGAGGGTTCTCAGCCCCCGCCCCACTACTCCACTGTTGATATCAAAGAAAATTGCCTTACCCTATTCTTGAAACCTGGTTTCCGATACTGGGTTTCGTAACCATACCGTCTTAAGTTTTGGACTCAGGACTAAAATGCTCTGTACTGAGTACTGTGTACTGTGTACTATATTTATATTTAGAATACCTTTATATTAATCTCATGGGAGTTTACTGTCCCCATTCATCATTTATATATAATATATAATATACTTATACTGCAGTGTACATCCTTTATTTTTACATTTCTAGACCTTCTTCTGCTCATTAACAATCTATATATATATATATATAAATATATATAAATATATATATATATATAAATATATATAGGTCTAGATATATATATAATATAAATATACTGCAGTGTACGTATATCTTTTATTTTTTCATTTCTAGACCTTCTTCTGCTCATTAACAATCTAATATATATATATATATATACATAATTTATATATATTTAAGTTTCAGAACATAGAATGACAGGTTTTTGAATTTTTATGTCTCTATTTTGGGTCCAGGAAAATAACTATTAATTATTGAGGGGGTCTTCAGAATAAAAACAATTTATTAAAAAAATGAAAACAAATCTTTCTTTACTTTCTTGACATGTATTGTATGTACATTGTACGTATAAATAAGTGTACCAAATACGTTGTCAACAAATAAAATAAAATGGATAACAAATGTACAATCTGCATTGAATACATGAACCATTATATTACCAGAGATGGGAACTTTTGAATGGGATATCCTTAATCCCGATCTGTTAATTAATCTGGAGATTAAATTCATGAGGAGAACAAGCAATATTTAATCTGGAGATTAAGAAAAAGAGGAGATCAAGCATTAATCTCGATATCCACCATTCTAAAGTTTTCAGCTCTAGTGGCGTAATATTGTAATTTTTTAATCCATATTTTCTTATATTATTATTAGGAAAAAGAAATTTTAAGACTTCGCAGATTTTTCTATTTTCATTGGTGGATTTTTTACCTGAAGCCATTTTGGAATAGTCGTCTTTGCATGAGAGAATCCAAGCCTTTGAAGTATATAATCTACTCCGTAGGGTTCAATCTTGCGACCTTAATCATAACATTGGCAACAAAACTTAACAATAATTATTTTCAAGATTAATTATTCCACAAAAATAAACACGAAATGGTGGAAAAAAACACAAGAAATTTCTAAAATCTGATAAAAATTTAACATACAGGGTTACCCACAAAGGATGAGACATCAGAGACGATTGTACGGAAATTGTTAAGTCCGTTTTCTTGTTTTCAGGGTTCCCGTAGGCCAAAGTGTCCTTATTTCTGTGCTTAATCATTTAATAAACCATTAGAATATTAAATTTTATCCAGAAACCAAAAATCAAGCTTCAAATCGTCCTATTTTAAGAGATTGGGTTGTTTTCGCAGTCTCATCCTGTGTTGATATTTAATTTTTCTTAAGGAAATTAATAAAAGAATTTGCTGAAAAAAACCCAGCGAATACTGAATATGAAAACAGAGTTTGGGATTGGCGCTAATATTTTCGTAAACGTTATATCCACAGTCGAAACTTGTAATTTGAAGGGATTGAATGACCCATAACAAATTGGACTCCTAGTTTTGTGATTTACCAGTGATCAAAGACACAAACTTTTGTGGCTTTTGACTGTTCGATCATTAGAGACATCTCAGAGGAATTAACTTAATCCGATACAGATACAGATTAGTTCTGCCCGTAGTGCTACACAATAAAAAAGTTACGACCTCTGAGGCAAAATTTAAAGAAGTTGAGTCGCGTCTGTAATATGAGACGCGGATCAAACATTGTTAGTTCCGTTAAAAATTATATTCTGTGTTTCCAGATTTGAGCCGGTGCTCAATTGGAACCGGTTATTGGCGGTTCAGCGACGCGGTTTAGATTCTTTAAATGTGACCTCTAGGTTGCTAAATAATTATCAAATGACGTTGACCTGCCCATGACTGTAGCCGGACTGTAGGTTCAAGTCTCCAGGTTTGGCATTCAAACTCACGCCAGTCAGTCTAATAATTTTATATTTTTGTCAATATTATTATTCAGAAAAATAATGTAAAAAGTACTAATAACTAGCTGGAGTACCCGGTGTTGCCCAGGTTAGAAAAAATGGGTTCAATCAAAAATGTCAGCGAGTTAATAAGAACAAAAATAATGATAACGATAATAATAATAAAATTATAATAATGCCAATGCCAATGCCATGGCCAATGCCAATGATAGTGATAGTGATAATGATGATAATGTTGATAATGATGATGATGATGATGATGATGATGATGATGATGATGATGATAATGATAATAATGATGATAGTGATGATAGTGATGATAGTGATGATAGTGATGATAGTGATGATAGTGATGATAGTGATGATAGTGATGATAGTGATGATAGTGATGATAGTTATGATAGTTATGATAGTTATGATAATGATGATAATGATGATAATGATGATAATGATGGTAATGATGGTAATGATGGTAATGATGGTAATGATGGTAATGATGGTGATAGTGATAGTGATAATGATAATAATAATGGACCTGGGATGAAGCTGAGGCAGGTTTATCCCTGTCTTCTGACCTCTCCGCCCCTTCCTGTTTATCTGATCTATCCGCCCCCTCCGCCCTAGACCTCCTAGATTCCTCCGCCGTTGCGTCCGGGGACAAAGTGTCTAAAATATAGAAATGAACTGAACACTCTGTTTAGTAAATTCCAACAGGAATGCAAAAATATGTAGCCAAGTATTTACTTCACCTCTATAAAGTTGTATGAAGAATTTTGTCTGCATATGCAAATTAATTTAACATAAAACATTTTAGAACTCCTTGAGTTCACAACCACATTTTAACAAATCCCCAATCTCTCCAGTCTACAACAACCCCCCCCCACCTCGGCCCGAGCAAGGAAATAAAAATTAAATTTGTGTCAATCGCTGACCCAAAGAGAGTTTCAATTTTACCATTACCTATATATTATTTTCTCGAAAAATTATCCTCCCCTAAAAAATCATTTTTTCCCAAACAATTTATAAAAATTATATATTCTTTTAGAACATTTTTTTTTAATAATTGGGAAAAATAATAATTTTTATGATAAACTAAAGAAATTTGGGTAATAAGTATAAAAAAGAATGAAAAACTTGCCTTTATGTCCAATTTTTCATTCCCCCCCCCCCATTTTATATTCCAACACTATCTTAATGATAAAGAGAAACAAGAAAAGCAATTAGTATTTCTAAAGAACAGTAATTACTAGACGAACACAATTTAAGTCTTTAATGAAATACCAAAAATGTCTGACAATTATACAAACACTAGGTTGGGAACCAAGCTTTGCCTGGATTTTTTTCTATACAAGTCAACCAACTCAACCAAAACCTTTCAGACAAGCTATAAAGACATTGCCGTGGCTACCAAGTTCTTTAATTAAATCGGTCAGAGGGTTCATGAGTTATAAATGGAGCAAACAGAGATTACTTTTAAATCTATATATACTTTGCTTGTAACTTGTCTCCCAGCTGTTTGTTTGTTTGTAACCGAAAAAACGTCAAAACGACTAAACCAATCGGGCCTAAATTTTGTGTGATGTCTCACAGGGAAGGTTTATGAACCATCAACATTGGAAAGAAATTCCTGGAAAATAGTAATCAGGTTTTTATGTTTGTGTTTATGCATTATACAATCCGAAGTTTGTACTACCACAGAATTTCTTCTGGCTGTTTGTTTAGGCTTAGGACTATCAACCCTAGTGCATCAAGGACATCAGCTCCTTAATCCTTCTGCAGACCTGAATCTCTCGGACAAGAAAGGAAACCCTTGCTCTCACATTTTTAACCTTTTGTTCTCAGGAGTTTTTCGTTTTTTAAAAACTTATAAAAATTTTCAGTTCAATACACCTATAAGATGGCCATCCTAAAGATTGATAAGAAGAAATTTACGATAATCGACAGTTCGTAATTTTCAAACTGTGAAAAAAATGCATGGGTCCGGTGCTCCTTGAACACCGAACCCACGGACTATCAATCCTAGTGCATTAAGGACATCAGCTCCTTGACGCTAAATTTCTTTCTTCTTTGCTACCTTTTGGAAAACTATTATCTTTAAATAAGTCTATTAATTGCGCGGGAAATCCTTTTTTTTTCAGAAGCCTTTCAACAATTCGGTTTTGATTTGCTAACTCTTCAATTGATGTCGTATGTGTCTTATTGGTTCTGAAGTACCCTAATCCTGTCATCTTCTTATATTTCATACTACATTTGATTTATACGGAATAATATCATATTTCGAATTGGGTTTCTTAGAATGCGCCAATTTGTAAAGAAAAATCCGCCATATTTAAAAATGATGATTTTAAAGAGCCGAATTTCCTAGAAACAGTTAAAAGCTAAAAGTTTTTACAGGAAAGGGAGCGCACAGCACACTTAAAGCCAAGTATAAATAGATTTGGTTTGTCAAGGTGTCTGTCTGTCGGTTTTTTAGCGACGTCAAAACCACTAAACAGCAATCACAGTGAAGGGGAATAAGCACATTTCCCCTCAAATGACACAAATTTTCAAGGAGGTAGCCACACCCATATTTTTGAAGCTATTTTTTTGAGATTTTGCATGAAGGTCAGATTAGTGATTAACTCTAGGAATGAATTTTCAAAATGTAAAAAAAAAAAATACAACAACATTTCCCCCGCTTTTTTTTTGGAAAAAATATAGGTTTTCCTGGTTTTAGGTACAAATTGGGTCTGTATTATGTTGGGTAACCTTCCTGATTTTTTTGATGAATTAGTTTTTTGTTGATTTTCTTTCTTTCTTTTGTTGCCCACCATTTTTTCCTTAGAAATTGAATTTGTGGGCCTATCTTCATTTTTGAAGTTTTTCTGTTCAAACTTTGGATTCAGATCATAATTGTGATAAATTTTCTGGACTGAAAAAAAATTAATAAAAATACGCAGAAAAATTAAGGATTTTTTTTTCATTGATTTCTTTGTTTAAAAACCTTCGACCATTGAAAATCAATAATGCAAGACAAACAATTTTTAGCTGTCAAAATTGTGCCAAATGAAAAAAAATCTGAAAAAAGGGGGTACCAGCTTTTTTTTTGAGATAATCGTTTTAGATCTTGATTTAGGTCTAAAATATGTTATTGCAAACCATAAAAATCTGAAACTTCAATTTTTGGCGGATTTCGGTATTTTTTAAATCTCAACTGTTTTGCCGTTGTTACATGAGGGGTGTCTAATGTCACTAAATCATGGTCGAAGATTTCATTTTTTTTCCCTTTATAAAGGGGCTGAATGAATACTTTATAAATTTATTGTAATATTGTCATAATCTAATTCTAGTGTTTTCCTTTATATAATCCCCTGTCAGCCCATAATAAAGCATATGTTTAGAATTTTAGGAACCAAAACTAAAACTCTGATAGAAGGAAGTGAAATAATGTAAAGAGAAGTAAATAAATTTCAGATTTCTTATCATCTACTCGTCTACTCGTGCATTATTTCATCAAATATTATATTTTTTTCGTTCTTCATAATACATGACGAAGTTAAATTAAAGTTTCTAAAAAATTCAAATTTTTAACTTTCAACTATGTCTGAAGTCAGTATTCAAAGAAACTCATTAAAGTTAAAAGAAAAATTCCTTCCCTCCCTTCCCTCCCTTCCTCCATCCAAAATCATCATCGCCCAGCTAGTAAACACTAACACCCGTTGGGGGTATATTTAGCAATATTTTCCCCCCCCCACCCTATAAAACAGTACAAAAAAAGAACTAATTGCTAGCAAGCCAAACTCTACGTTTTGTCCGAATATATAATTTTGCAATCTAATGCCGTTAAATATTTCTTCGATAATTCAGACGTTGGTTTCTTGATCTCAGTGTTTTTAGTTTACTAAGCTTTAAGGGCGCTTCGCGCCCATTTACTACTTCAAATTTGAATGTTACTTTATCGATGAGCATTTTCTCTCCGTAAAATATTAAACAATATGGATAGAAAGTTCGTGAATTTCATGATATTTTTCGCGGATTTTTTAAGTTGCACGAAAATCGAACTTTTGGGAGACACATTTTTTAAAATTTCTGAGCATCCATAAACCTCTCCTGAGGTCATGTGAGTTGCTTTAAAATGTTGGGTCCGATCGGTTCGGTCGTTTTTACGTTTATGGAAACAAACAAGAAAACAAACAAACTCCCAGACAAGCCAAGTATATATAAAGATTATGAAACCAATTTGCAAACATATAATGAAACAAAAATTAGAGTAAAAGCAGNGGAGATGAAACAATTTCTAAAAGTTCATTTCTAAATTTAAATAATTGAATTACTAACAAACTTCAAGACAACACATTTTCTCTTTAACAAGTTTAAGTAAACACTAAAACTTTTTTTTAATGTTGCTCGAAATTTTTTCTTCATCCTTAAACAGACTTTATAACAGTTTGGTCAGGTCCACTCCTTAAAAGTTCTTTTTCCCAATATTTAGTATTTAAAAATTAATCCGTATAACCTAAACCATAGTAGTAATAGTAAACTTAAACTTAATAAAAATGTTATACATGTAAAACCTATTATGTAACAAAAAGAATTGTATATATCATGAAATATAAATATAAATATTTTGTTTAAAAAAATAATATTTTGAATTTTGAATTTTTTTTTTACAAACATTGTCAATTATTTATCATCAAGGAAATAATATTTTTTATTATTAAGTAAAATATTTTAGCGCCTTGAGACCAACATAACCGACCTCTAAACTCCATCAAACAACAATTAATCTATTACTACGCTCCAGATGTTTTGTAGACAAAATTGGTTTTGGCAACCCTTGGTAAAATAAATTCCCTTTACTTCACTGCACTGCTGTAAACAAGTATAATAAAACTCAAAAAACAATAAATATGAGAAAAATATTGATTTTAAGAGTAGAGTATCAATGCCCATTGCCCCCCCCCTTCGTAATTTAATCTAAAGCATTTTTTTAAAAAACGTATTTATAATTTCTATCCATTTTGAAAAAGAACCAGAGAGTCGCTAGAAACCCATTTATTAATAAAATCTAACCTACAAGTATTAAAAGAATATAAAAGTATTTAAAAACATTGATATCTAATTCCTACTTGGTCATACAAAGCTTTCAAGAGTACCGTTGTGAATCAGTCATTGTCATCTTTGCATGGAGGGTCACTTAAAATTACGCGTACAGTCCCTTTAAGTATTGACCTGAAGTATGCGCAGAATGTGCTTGGATGCCTTGTCCTCCAGCTTGGTGAGATATCACTCTATCCTTCTCCTAAATAGATAGATAAATAGATAGTTAGATAGTTCGATATATAGATAGATAGATACAATTAAAGATATATAGATAGATAGATAGATAGATAGATAGTTAGATAGTTAGACATATAGATTGCTGCATAAATAAATTACGAAACTAAATTATGGTTCATTGCCAAACAATTTGTAGTATTCTGAAATAGTTAGAAAGGCAGAAAAAATAATGTCTAGAATGCCAAGTTTGGAAGTTTTTTGACTAAGAGAAAATGGAGGAAAAAATATTTATTTAAATTTTTGACAGTTTTTCAATATAACCTAACATTAATACAAGATCTAATATAGATTTTGTCATTCTTCAAACTTGAAATGTGTTCAAGAAAATACTTGTTAAGAGATTGTTCCAATATTCCAATTTTCGAATATTTGGGGATTAAAAAATCTTTATTTTCCACAAAAAAATAAAGTTTAGTTTTTAATGTTTGTGAAAAATGCTTTAGATGACTTAATCTTGTTCGTTAACATTTTTGAGTGTTCAAACGTCAAAATGAAATTTTTTGACTTACAAGTTTGATCTAAGATAATATGTATAATAAAGCTAGTATTATCAATACTCTGGTTTGTTTTCCTAAGAGTTTTCCTAAGAGTTTTTATGGCCTCTAGACTGTAATTTCAGAAGGTTTCATTATTTAAAACTATATTATGTAAAAGTTTGCTTTTCTAAAAGGGAAAATATAAGGAAAAAAGGAAGTATAAAAATATCGTTATCGTATAAAATTGGATAAATATATAATCTAAAAATATAGATATCTAACCTTGACATAAGATGATATAAGATCATGAAGGAAGAAGAATGCCTCGGCGTCCACTGTAACAAATATATGATCCTCGAATTCTGTTACGAAGGTGCAGGTTACAGTAGGTCGGGGGTCATCAGCTGTAGGAGGCCGTTCACCCTACATATATAGAAGCGTTTATTTTACAAGGACTAGACTTAATTTCAAGTGCAGAGCATGCACTCTAAATTACGAAATAAAAAATCAATTTTATTTAACAAAAAACCGAATTGCAATAGTCACTTTAAAAAAAAAAGAAATCACGATTTATTAACAGATAAACATAGATATCTCATTCATTCCTGATCAGAACAAGCTTTAAACGGTATCGTTAAAAATATCACATATTACTTTCTAATTGGAGGTTCAAATTTAGAAAACAAATAGAGTCCCTTTCAGAAAACTATCTTAGCTTCTTACTTTTACCAAAAATATAAACAGGTAATAGAACTAGGGAATCAAAGAAGATTAAATACATGGAAAATGCGTTTAAAAAAAGTTTTGTTACGTGCGGCGTGCACAGTAAGCATATTTCTAATTTTTTTTTGAATAGTTGGCTTACAGAGTCTTTGGTTGTTATTTCAAGTGATCCTCCATTTTAAGATTGGCATGTCTGAACCAAAACGATGCCCTATACAGTATACACATCTGTCTGAGTTACGACGACAAAGAATCGCCCTTTTTCTATCTAAATAGTGTAAAGTTTAAAGGGTACCACTGTGAATCAGACATATCCCTCTGTAAATTGAGGTTCACTTGAGATATACAGTCACTTTACAGTACTATTGGACACCAGTAAATTTAAACAAATAATAACGTTAAAATTTTCCATTTTTTAATTGTTTATTTTCAAGTTGTTAAAAAGTATTTTTTGGTGGGGAAGGGAGATTCTGGCTCGTCATTGAGGTTCCTCGAAAACTTGGGTCAGTTTGTTCCGCCGTTTTAACGATGCAAAGATACAACCAACCAAGGTTAAAAAAAGTAAAGCTTTGAAAAAAAGTCCTATATCATTTACTCAATACAAATATGAATATCATCTTTTAAAAGTAAAATAATAATTTGTAAAATATACAAAACTGAAAAAATGAATTTTAGTTTAAGAAAAGAATTTCTAGGAATGAAGAATGCATAATAAAAGAGAACAAAGGCAAAGCATCCATGCTTATCTGGCTGAATTTGAAACCATTTCTTTTATTTATTTATTCAAAACATTTTGCTTCCTTCAAAGCTTTTCTTTTGGGAAAACTTAATAAAGGGACTGGTCACTATAAGAAAATACACATAACTAATCATAATAGTTGGAATTACCTGAATATGCATTGACTTGAGAATCATACTTAGACAAGGCAGGGCAAATATTACTTCTATTGTCTGATTATACTGGCCTAAAATTGGAAATTATGTCAATAAAATGACGCAAATCCAATACAATCTAATGCTATCCAACAATCCAAAAATGCCTTCTGTGTGTTGGGAACCCCCTGGGTTTAAGTTACTTCCAATTGGATTATTTCTGTACTTTTGATAAAAATGTTTAACAAATAAATAGAAAAACATTAATTACCTTTGTCCCTATGGATTGGTTTGTGCTCTGTGGCTAGAACTGGGAACCGGTCCACTTGATCTAGATCGCTGTTCTTAAAAGCATAGGAGAACCATTCAGACAAGCTCTTAAACTGTGGTGAGTACATATAGTTCCGTGATATCTTGCACACTGTTGCCATTGAAACATGTTGGGCTAGGGCCAGAGATTCTCCCATGCCAAGTGAGAACACCATCTTTTGCTCTACACTTGTTGCTTTTGAGCCATCCATGTTAATTCCTTGAGCTTCGCTGTTAAAAGAAATAAATGGTTCTTTCATGGAAAACAGAGCCCAAGACTTTGCTTTGAAGTTTATTCCATGGAAGCAAGCAAGTGATATGTGCTTGCCAGAGAGTTCTAGTCTACCTCCTACAATAGATCCTGCTGGAGGTAGTCTTACAGCTAAATTCTTCACTTTGAGACCAGAAACTCTTTCTAAAACATGTTGCCAATGTCTGTGATGTGAAACACTTTGGTTTGAACCAGAGCGGAAACTACCAGATGAGCGCTTTCCAAGCTTTACTCCAGCAATACCTTTGCCAGCAGACCAGGGTTCTAAAATACTCAATACTCTTTTGCTGGATTTAAACTGTTGAACAAAGAATTCTTCCAATTTATAGTAAATCTTTATCAAATCAGCCGTGGTTGATTTACTAATGAGCATTTGCAATTGATCCCATTTTAAATCTCCGAAAACAAAGACCATTGCTCTTCTAGTACTGCCTGCTTCGGCACAATTGGGCCTATCCAATCCAACTTGCCATTCATTTTCTAAAGTGACTTCTAAATGACTGACTCTACTCATGAGTACACTTGTTCCCATGTAATCAATCCTGACTTCCATGGCATCTAACTTAGCTCCAACCTTGTGTTTTGGCTCTTTTCCACAATCTTCCAGCACTCTTATATAAGTGTCAATGTTTCCAAGATTTATGCATCCACCAATGATTCCTCCTTTTGCCTCCAAACTTGAGCCCTTCAAACCAAGTCCAATGAAGAGGTCCTTGTGACCAGAGCTACCAATTGACAATCTTCCTTCAGATGTAAAATCCTTTGAAATCCAGCATACTGTTCCCATCACATTTCCCATGTTCATTCCAACCTCTAGCTCTTTGAATTTGACAGCAAACAGAACCAGGGTTTCCCATGACTGAGAATTCTGCTTAACAAGTGGATTAACAGATTTCTTTCTTTGAATAATGTTCAGACTTGGTCTTTTAAGATTTGGAGTATTGGATTGAGAGGCAACTATGGATTGCTTTCGTGCATTTAACAAGTTGACATGGGGAATAGTAGGACTCTGGTCTACTTTGATCCCTGGAATATTGATCCCATCATTCATATCAGCAGCAGGAGAATCAATATCAGAGTAAATGTTTGTGGTTTTCAGCTCTCCCAGGAAGAGCCTTCTTACTAATGTGCGGCGATACCAAGCCTTGGGGAAAGCAAGGATTTCTGTAAGTCTTCTCATGTCATAATTGAATGTTGCCTTACCAATGTCAACAATTGTGCTGAATCTTACACAAGCTTTCCCAACAGGGTCACTGTTCTGTTTTGTCAGTTTTGTTGGCTTTAACAGGTCTTCTTTACTTCTATCAAAAGCCAGTTTCCTAGATCTAGACAAGTGAAATTTTACAAATGCAACCTTAACACTTAGAGAATCTTTTCTGTCTTCACACGGTGGAGGAGACATTGTTGTATCCATCCTTTTTCTTCTTCCACCTCCATATGGATGAAAAACATGTATTGAGAAGTCAGCCAAGCATCCTGTCACACTAAGTCCCCCAACACCAGAGTTCTCTTTTTTCTTTTCTTCAACATTGGCAAAAGAAGATTCCCTTCTCATATCAAAAAAAGAATCTTTTTCCTCTAGAATGTCATTATCTGACCTCTTAGATGAAAAAACTAAATCCAGAGAAGGAAGTGTGAGCATGCATTCTACTCTTGATACAGGCAGACAGGAAAATCTGAACTGGTTGCTTTTCATGTGGAAGTACACAATCACATCAACAGGGTAGGATAAAGTAGATGGTAGTGCATCATCCCCATCAGAACTGTTTTCATACTCATTTACATTATCAAATAAACTATCAGATTTCCCTAATTGTGATATGGGTTCCAAAGCTTGCTCCAAAAATTCTAAAATAAGTGGAGTTATAACAGTTTCTTCTGGAATACTTTGAAGAGTAACCCAAGCAGTAAGAACAGCCTTTCTGTTCATTGCTCTCTTTGACAATGAGAGAAATGAGCCTTCACTGTCCCTAGATGGCAATTCTAGACCAAGATTTGCATCAAAATCACTCTCAGTTTTAGATGTGTAATGAACTTTTACATCTAAACCAGGAATGTAGAAAATGGTAGCTATTTCTCTACTGAAAGACATATTGGCCTTATCTTTTGATCTCCCTTTTTCTTTTTCTGAGAACTGTCCAAGACCAAACTTTCTTTGAGAAAGTGGACTTCCAGAATGTTCATAGAAATTACTCGAACTTCTCTCTTTTCTAAGCTTTTTTGAGTCCTCATCCACCTTGGTATGTAGTATGCACTTTCCATAGTTGATAAAGATTTTGAAATCAAAAACATAATCTACATTTGGCTCAGAGATAGCCTTTTTCTCTTGATGAAGAGACTGCTGATGCTTGGGGCTGACTGTTCCCTTTAATCTTTCATCTGCAAATGATGGTGGGGATCCTGGTGATGAAGAATCTTCTTCAATAGTTTCACATTGTGTATTGTAAAAGGCTTTTTTTCTTTCTCTTCCTGAGGAGGATAAGATGGGAACAGTAATATTAATTCCATCAATGTCTTCTGTATCATCAACAGATTTCAGAATGTCATTTTCCTGCTCAAGTCTAGCTCTTACACTTTCTTCAAAAGAGTAGGATTCATCGCTAGGAGATAACATATATTGAGACCTGCCCTTTATGCTAATCCCTCTTTGAGGAGGAAGGGCTGGATTGCTTGCTGTTCCACCCCAGCCAAATTTTTCTTTGATGCTTTGAGTTCTTGCACTTTGTCGTCTCAGTTTTTGAACTATGTCTCTTCTAAAATCTTTAGATGCAAATGCCTCCATGTCAGACAATTTTTTAAGTTCAATGTCAACTGTCTGTTCAGATGCACCCAGTTTTCTTAGATCTTCAATGATCTTTGACTGCTCTATCATTTCTTCTCTCATTCTTTTAGCTCTTTGAGCAGGTTCAATTGATGAGTCAAATACAAATTCTGGTAAATTCTCAATTTGAATTGTCCTCTGTCTTTTTTGAGGATAAGACTCATCCACAATTATCATATCTGAATCAAAATCATCACTGATAGATGAATCTTCAGTTATTTCCTCTTCCTCTCCAGTCAGAGTTGTCAAAGTGTGCCCTAAGGCACTTAGATGCTTTCCAATCTCAGTATCAACTTTAACATCAACTCCTGTCATTTGCCATTTAATATTTAGTATCCATTTGGCATTGCTATTGGTTTTATTTTTGTCTTCATGTTTTGCTTTAACTGTCCTACTGCAGACCTCATAGGAGCCTTCTGACACAGTACACAGATTGAGTAAGTTATCATCTGATCTATCAGGCTTCCAATCATCCAAAGTGTGATTAAAGTCTTCCGCAAATCTTATACACAAATCTTCAAACTTTCCCTTACTAACCATTGACTCAGCAGAACATGCAGAAATGCTAGTAGTTTCCACAGTACAAACAATAGCTCCTTTGGAGTCAAAATCCTTAGAATTGGGATCAGACATCATTGGAATAGCCACACCAATGTCACTAACATTTAATTGAAGGAAGAGAGTTCCGATATGCTGGGAGCTAATTTGTTCTTTTAATTGACTTATTGGTACTCTTTCAATTACTTGCTGTGTGGCAATAAGAACTTCTTTATTGAGGCTTGAGCGCTGTTCAGCCCAGTACTCCCAAGCATTTTTGTAGCTAAGCCAGACTAATATTGCTTTGTCAACTGCTATGGGCTGAAAGAAGATGAGAGGCCTGTTCAAAGATATCAAAATGACTTCTTTCTCTGGAAGTGAAGATGCTTCTTCTGTGATAGATTCATCTTCCAAAGCATTTCGTAACTGAATAGTGGTTTTAAAATAGGCATGTTGCTGAAACTGGGGTTCAGCTTCAGGGTAAATAACATCTTTTATGAGCTGCCCCAATCCTAATTTGAGAAATATCTTGGCTTTGGTAGAAATCTTATTGCAACCTGATTTAGAACCTTGGACATTTGCAATTCTGTTAGATATAACCAGTTCAGAAGTTCCTGTTTCAAATCTAACAGCTGAGTTTGATGGTGTTGTGGCAGTCAATGTTATTCTTTTAACCTTAACGGATACAGTGTACAATAACTGTTTTGTTGATCTAGTATGATGTAATTCAAATTCATCTCCAAATTCTGTCCATACTGGAACAAGAATGTCTCCTCCTGACAATTTCTGCACAACTTCATTGACTTCTTTCATAAATACTTTCTGCACAAACACCAAATGATTTAACATGTCAGTAGTTAGGCCATGATCTAACTCTCCAATTTCAGCATCTGCTTTGAAGTAATTACCTTTGCTGTACATTGATCCATCAGCTGCTTTTTGATTTTCATGGCCAGAGCCTACCATTTCATCCTGAATGTATTCTGCTACAACCTGAACTTTAGGTAGGTCAATAGAAGCTTCTGAAGGAAGATTTGTATCTTTCTCTACTTGACTTTCAAGCTTGGTATTAAAGCTTAAAGTGTGCTTAGGCAGGATTATATTAAATTTTGCTTTACTGCCTGTCATACCCTTGGAAACAACTTTCTCCATCTTATACTCAGCTTGCAGGGATGGAAGCAAAGCTGCACTTACTGCAAAACTTACAACCTGCAAGTAAAAAGACATAACCAATGGCTTAAGAAGCTGAGACTGATCTTCAGCTGATTGATTCTCTGTGTGTGCAGTTTTTGAATTTTCCATGGGAGAGCCATGTGGAATTTCATGGTCTTCTATGACAGTTGTTTTTCCTTTGTACAGAATTCTGGTTCCTTTAAACTCCTTTAATGTGTTTGTTAATTGCTTAGAGCTTCGGGCCATGATACCATGCAACGTTACTGGGTGCTGGGGAATCTTGACATGAACAGGTCCTACAGTAAGGGAGCAGTCATTTTTATCCTTCTTAGCAATATGAGTTTTGTAACTGACTTCAGATGATTGTACTGATAAATGCACAACTGTTTGCTGATGTGAAGGAGTACCTTCCAGAAGTGCAATAGTGGTTTCATCAACTTTTCCATTAACCTGAGCATCTACAATGACACCTTTCTGAACACCTCTTGTTCTCTCCTTGTAACTTACTGATGAAGAAAAGTTAGTTATTTCTCCTTCTAGCTTTAAACCACTAAGTGAAGCCATTAAATAAACTTTATTGATTCTAGCCTCTCCTATTACAATCAATGGTATGTGCTCTTTGGGAGTGAACTCGGGCTTAGCAAAAGAAACTTCTTTTTTTACTGGAGACAAAATCTTGGGAGAGTCCTTGTCAGTCTCTGGAGTTTTTAAAGGATCTGTAGACTTCATTTGATCTGCAGACATCATCTGGGCATATTTAAGCCTGGATCTTTGCAAAAGAGAAATATCTGTATTTGAAAGATGAGTAATTGAGGCTCTTTGGCTGATGAATTTGGTCTCTGGCAATGTGGCATATAATTCTAGAAGATGATAAATAGTTTTCCAACATTTAGTGATTTGCTCCTCTGCTATTTTCTCGAGAGGGTGACCAGAAAATATGAATGCATCATGAGGCTCTTGTAATGGGGATTCCCCTAAGCTGGCATAACCTCCCATTCCCAATCTACTGTTTGGTCTGAACTTTGATGCAAAACTTTTAGGTCTGGATTTGAGAGCAGACTTTAAAGTAGCTGAGGGACTTGGGGTACTAAGTGATGCTGGATACTGAATTATTGGAACCTGCTGGCTAGGCAAATTCACTGATGAGCCCTTCAAGGAAAGTTCTTCTGGTCGAACCAAAACTGATCCAACTTCACTAGCAGAACTACCAGAACTATTCTGCTTCTTATGCTTTCGAAATGTTTCAGTCCTGTTAACACTTTGTTTTTTCTCTCTGAGAACTTCATTTGTCTCCTTGGCATTAAGATGCATCGTAACAATCTGATTAACCAGACGAAGCAGCGGCATATTTACTTTTTGAGATATGAAACCAATTTCAATGGTAAAATTAGCAAAGCTGCTTGTATGCCTTTTAAGTTGATTTCTTGAGACATAAAGGGGAAGAACTTTTTCCTTAGTTTCTTTTTCCCCTTTCAAAATATCAGTCACCTTTTTCAAATCTACACTCAAGGCAACTTTTTTACAAACAAAAGCATGTAGGTTATCTGAATCCAGGCTTAGTTTTTCAAGTTTTGACTTTCCTCTCATCACATCTTTTCCATCCTTCCCAAACTCAGATTCTACAAGAGATATTTCAAACGTGTCCACACCTCCACAAACAATTATTTGGGAGCCAAGATTTTTAAGGGAGAGATTGGTGATTTGTTGTGGCATCAATCCTAGGCTAGAAAGCAGTGGTTCAAAAATTATGTGAGAGTCCAAAAATGCATTACCAACTCCATTTGGGGGTGGAGGTTGTGTAGCTACAATGTCTTTTGGATTTGGGTCTTCCTCAACTTGGATCTTTACACATTTTTCCATCACAATGATATCATTTAAAGTATCAACTCCTTCTGTATTAGAATCTTGAATATACTGCTGCCGTTTCATCCAGTGGTACAGATCTTCCCCATCCTCCATTGTTTTACAAAGCTTTGCTTTCATAACTGGAGATGATGGCCCTGACATTGCTTTGTCACTTTTAGCTGACTTTAAAGCTAAGGAATCATCACTGTAAATTGAACCTCCAAGTATTGTACTTTTCCGGTCCTTTTCTCCATTTTCTAAAAGAAACAACATGTCATCTGAATTTGGACTCCTCTGACCAGGTGATCGATATCCTTTGGGTTTAAAATAAGACAAGTTTGAAATAATGGAACCCTCTTGAAAATATTTTCCTTTGTTGAAAGGAGTTTTTAATAGTGGGTTATCTTCATCCATCTCAAGGTCTGAAAAACCCTCCTCTTCATCACTTGTGTCATCAAGTTCTTCAGATACCTCCAAAGTAGCATCATTTCTATACAAATTTTTCATCCCACTTGTCTTTAGATTATACTCTATAAGAATTGGAGTATAGATCACATTTTTCCATTGTCTAGACAGAACTACAATGCCTTGCCTTAGGTGGGTAAGAGGTGGAATAATCTTAGGGTCTAGGTTTGATTCAATCTCGTTTAGACCTTTCTTCTTTACATATCTGAGCATAACACAACACAGTTGGCAAGATGGGTCTTCTTTCAGTGTCTTGGCAAGTGCAGTAAGAATCTCATACTTGCTTGATTTGGCAAAATGAAGTTCCCGTGCTTCAAGAGCTTCTGTCATTACTGAAGCAATGATGGCTCCAACTCTTGAGTTGTAAGAGTTGATGACACTCGAGGTTGCATTCTGTACCCTGTTAATAGGGTTCAGCCATGCATCAATGGCTGGACTTCCAGTGCTTAATAAATTCCAGTCCAGTTTTGTGAAGTCTATCTTTTTAGAAATAGGAGTTTTTGGAGGGGCAGCAAAGTTGAACCAAACAGTTTGAAACTTTAATGAGGCTGAAGCCTTTGACTTTTTCCCCTGGTATTTATCCTTATTGAGTTCTTTCTCTTGAATCTCAGCTTTCTGATCATACTCCATTTGAACTTCATGGTCATCTTTTTTCTCAATATCAATCAAAATATTTTCTATTAGCTCCTTTTGGCTCATTTCATTGTTCTCCCCAAGATCAATAGTGTCTGCTAAAGTAACATTACTGCATGACTGAAGAATTTCATTTTCTTCATGAACTTTTTCTGAATCTTCAAAATCTTTCAGCTCCTTATCTTTGTTGCTTGATTTCTTTGAAATACTAATCTTTACTCCCTCTAACCCTGTCTCACACATATTGAAACCCAAGGGATGAACATTATCCCCTTTAGAATCAACATCTTCATCCTCTGCCTTTGACTCGAGCACACTTTCAAAATTGCTCAGTAGAGGAACATCATGGTATTCAAAGAACACTTTTGACTTATGATCAGGTATTGCAGTGATTGCAGCATCCTTTAGCAAAGAACTATCATTTTTCAGTCTTCTGAGTTGAGCATGAATTTTACTAACTGACCCTACCATCACAATCTCCTCAAGTTGTGTTTCTGAAGATTCAAATGCAATGTTTCCAACAGGAAGCTGAGCAATTCTCTTTAGCTTAGATTTTCTCTTCTTGCCACTTGGCATCTTGTCATTTTGAGTCAAAACTTGGACAATTTTCTTTGACTGAGAAGTTTTGTGAAACTTAAAGCTTGCTTCTTTAATTCCCAAAGCAAGGAAGGATACACATGTAATATCCTTGATCTGATCCAAAGCTGAAAATGCGCAGCTGTCTTCAACTACAGATGCCTGAAGAACCATAATATTAATCTTTGGTAGAATCAATGATCCTTGAACAGAGGATGCAACACTTTTCTCAAAAGTTCTTGAAACAGACTGAAATGGAAGGTTCAGCTTATTCTTGTCTGTAATCTTGATGTCACTTGAAATTATCTTATCCTGTAAATCTAAACTTTTTTCTTTCTTCAAAGTATTTTTCTCCTCTACTCTATCTAGGGAGGCTGCATGTAGATGATTAATAACAGCCAAGGGATGCAGTAGTTGAAAAGTAGGAGTTAAAGACTCCACACACCTTTGTAGAGACTCCAGCATTATTGGAGATGTGACAATATCAACAGAGTCCCTAAACTGTATGATAATGGTACTTTTACTAGTGTTCATATCTGATAAGGTTTGCAGTAAAGTTTCTTTGTCACTTGGGGTCTCAGGATCAAGATCTTCTAAGCTAAACATGTCCTCCCCCCAAGTAAATCCTTGAGGATGGGATGGTGTTGGAATTGGTTTGTTTGCTAAACACTCCTCTCCGTCCTTGTCAAACATCTTTATGCAACTGAATCCCTCGAACATCATCTCGTAGCAGGGCAAGGTCTCAAGAATGGGACATGTGAGATCTGAGAGAGGTCTCTGTTTAACACTGGTAGCTGTGTTAAGCTTGAGGTCAATATTCTTACAGCGGAGCTGGGTCAAATGGGTTAGGTAGCTAGACAAGAGAAGAGGGGACTCTGTGATAGGCTTGTTAACCTATAGGATAAGCAGATATTTATCAAATTGGTAAAAGTGAAATTTTTACATTTTAGAAAGAAGTCGAGCATAATAATTAAAATTGTTCAAGGAGGAAATGAAATTTATCAAATTAAAAATTCCATAAAATGACACACAAAAGAAGTAGATGGGAAAATGGAAAAATGCCATATTTTAAAATAGAAAGCAAATATTTAACCAAAAAAGATTTGTTCTGGGCAGTGGGCAAACATATTCATATTTTTTAGTTTTATGTCATTAATGATTATTATAGCATGAAAGATTAAATATTTGATTTGGTGTCTAAAATACATTTATGATGTCCTATCAAAAGTATTATTAGTCATGCCATACATAATTTAATAGAAAAAAAACCAGCATGTATATTGTACAAAAGTAACCTAAATGATAGAACGGGACCTTTTTTCCAAATTGTTTTTATGCTGGTCTGTCTTACCAAATATAACAAAATGTGACCAAAAGGCAAACTTTTTGTGTTGAATATTCTATAGTCAAGCCTAGAATTCCTAGACTTAGCCTGCATAGCAGCAGAATACTGATGTATAAATTATACAAAGGCTTACTGAGATATCCAACACAATAGTTTGGTCCCCTCAGGAGTTATAATAGATAAATTCATTGAATATTCTATAGTCAAGCCTAGAATTCCTAGACTTAGCCTGCATAGCAGCAGAATACTGATGTATAAATTATACAAAGGCTTACTGAGATATCCAACACAATAGTTTGGTCCTCTCAGGTGTTATAATAGATAAATTCATTGTCAAAATTAGACCAAAAACTAAATTTTTATCTGCTCTTTCCTGGATACTAAGATTCACCAATCCAAAATCTTCATCCTGTTCCTGAAGCAGGTTGACATCCTGCTCCGATATGGCTGACATAAAGGACGTAGAAGACACAGATCTTGATAGGGTAGCTTCAGAACCATCATCAAGATCCTCAAAATTCTGTGTGGAGTCCCTCAGGGTGCTGGTAGATCTTACAGATTCAGCCTCAGTTTGCATGGAGTTTGGGCCAAGGCTAGATCGAGGTGAAACTGGGGATCCAACCACAGGTCTACAAAAATAACATTTTTTGAAATTAAATTTTAAAAATAGGTTTCTTTGGATTTCTCAAAATTTTCCTTTGAAATAAAGCTTTAAAAATTTCATTCGGAGGAATGCATAAAAAACCCCACTATAATTAAAGAAGTAAAATAATAATCTGTTTGTCTTTTGCACCCTGAGGGCGTAAAAAAATATATATTTAAATTATGCTATTTTCCTGGAATCTCCATCAATTGAGTAGAAAGACAAGGCATCACTGAGCAGAGACTCTGTTCTGACTAGTCGGGAGAAATCAACACGTGGAGACTCAACACGCCCCCCAGCCTCTACTAGGGGTGACTCAACTCGTCCTCCAGGTTCATGACGAGGAGACTCTATCCGTCCACCACCTGCCTCTCGTCGGGGGGAGTCAACCCGGCCAACAATGAAACCAGTTAAGGAAGGTCCACTAACACTCCTAAAAATTAAAAATTCTTAAATATTGCAAACTTATGGAAGGAATAATATAAAGTGAAACTAGCAAATTCAGAAGAAAGTCAAATCGAGTTGATATCAATGTAAATAAAAGCAAAATTAAAAATTTAGCAAAAGATGTGTCAAGAACAAAATCTTAGAAAAAAGGTAAGATACCAACCAAGAGAAAAAAAAAGACAAGATTAAAGCTCTAATAAAGAGTTGCAGTACATGTTTAGAACTAAATTTGATGTAAAATGAAATATTAACTCATGAAACTAAAATGCTTTTTTATAACAGCAACCTTAAACCCCAAATAATATTAAAGATTAAAACCTTATATTTTCAGTTCCAGTTAGACTTGTTCTCTTCTTCCGTAGAGTATTGTTCTGAGAGGTTTGCTGAGGAGTAGAGGAGATACTTCTTCGGCCTAAAGTTCTCTGTCTTCTCAATAGTTTAGGAGTTCCTCCCTCTGCTGTTCCACCGCTGCTGTTGTTGGACATCTGACTTCTAAACATTTATATTATCATTAGTATCATTAGTATTATTTCGTTAATAAAAATTTTCCTCTGTCTACGGAAAATCTTCTCTGTCTATGAAATGTCTAATCTAGGAAATGTCATATTTATGAAATGTCCGTCTATGAAATGTCTGTCTATGAAATGTCTGTCTATGAAATGTACAATCTATGAAATGTCCAATCTATAAAATGTTCTATGAAATGTCTTCCTATGAAATGTCCCAACGACGAGGTATTGAGTAAAAAATTTCCAAAAAAAAGTAAATAATAAATGCCTTTTTTTGAATTAAATAATGGTCGCAAGAGGGTCAGGGGTTTAGTGTAGAGAAGTATACAAAATTCTGACATTAGTTGCATAAAATGTCCGCAGATATGAAAAACGTCTATCCTTGGGTTTTAAAATGTCCAAAGAGAAAAAATGTCTAACCATATTCAAAATGTCCGTAAAGATGAGAAATGTCTAAACTTGGTTGTTTAAAATGTCCGTAAAGAGGAAAAATGTCTAACCTTGGTTGCTTAAAATGTCCACAAGGTGGCAGACGAATCGGTTCTCCACATTTAACCGGCCAGCTGACAGGAACTGCTTTTTCCGTTAACATCTAAACATCAAACATCAAATCATATTTTCTATCTCAATTTATGATTAAAAAATAAAAAAAATTTGTAATCCGATTTGTTTTCTCTCTTTGATTTCAATGATTTATCAATCCAAGCGCAAAATTTTCTGAAAAGAATAGATTATAAATATTAAACGAAAATGAAAAAGAATTTATTTTATTTTCTCAGAAAATTCTAAATTTTTGATTAAAAACACCATCCTTTCATATATTCACCCAATTAAATCCCCTAATATTTGCTGCCTCCCCTGCACACTGGTGGGAAAGATAAATTGTGTGTATGCCCCTGAATTCTAAATTTTGTGTGTATGCCCCTGAATTCTAAATTGTGTGTATGCCCCTGAATTCTAAATTGTGTGTATGCCCCTGAATTCTAAATTGTGTGTATTCCCCTGAATTCTAAATTGTGTGTATTCCCCTGAATTCTAAATTGTGTGTATGCCCCTGAATTCTAAATTGGGTGTATGCCCCTGAATTCTAAATTGTGTGTATGCCCCTGAATTCTAAATTGTGTGTATTCCCCTGAATTCTAAATTGTGTGTATGCCTCTGAATTCTAAATTGTGTGTATTCCCCTGAATTCTAAATTGTGTGTATGCCCCTGAATTCTAAATTGTGTGTATGCCCCTGAATTCTAAATTGTGTCTATTTGTGTAACAAAAACAGTTTGAAAGATCTACGATATTATTATGATAGAGACACAGGGTGTTCCAATAAACATGGGAATTAAATGACGACTTCTATATCGTCTTTGTTCCAAGCGGGATTATTTCGTAAATATGATTTTTTGGTATCACAGTTTAAACATTTAAAACAACTAGTCTCGGGATTTTCAATATGTGGTCTACCATTTTTTCACTTTCAAAATTGAGAGAGATATCAGAAAATTTTACCAGGTTCCAGTTAATTAAAATTGAACAAAACAGTTGAAATGTTTAATATCTCCGTCAATTTTAAAGATAAAACGAATGTAGACCACATTTAGGAAAGGTCATGAGACGTTTTTATGCACTTTGTCATTTATCAATTAACAGTCATCTTTTTTTGCACTTTAAGTCATTTATCAATTATCGAAAATAAACGACGATATTCAAATTGTCTCTAAATTCCCACATTTAGTGGAACACCCTGTAAATATTTCTAAACGTTGATGAGCGCGTATTTTATCCAATATAGTGTAGGGCACCCTGTAATTCATACCTGTTGGTTTTCTTTATAGCTCTGACAGGGGGCTAGAGGTAAGGTTTCAGGATGAAGAATACTCTGACCGTAACCAGGGTTCAGCTTCAGGTCACGGATTAGTGCTAGACGATTGATAAATATATTTATTATAGTGCTAGACAACTGTTAAATATATCTAATTGTAGTACTAGACAACTGATAAATATATTTATTATAGTAATAGACAACTGTTAAATATATCTATTATAGTGCTAGACAACTGTTAAATATATCTAATTGTAGTGCTAGACAACTGATAAAAATATCTAATTGTAGTGCTAGACAACTGTTAAATATATCTATTATAGTGCTAGACAACTGTTAAATATATCTATTATGGTGCTAGACAACTGTTAAATATATCTAATTGTAGTGCTAGACAACTGTTAAATATATCTATTGTAGTGCTAGACAACTGATAAATATATTTATTGTAGTGCTAGACAACTGATAAAAATATTTATTGTAGTGCTAGACGATTGATAAATATATTTATTATAGTGCTAGACAACTGTTAAATATATCTATTGTAGTGCTAGACAACTGTTAAATATATCTATTGTAGTGCTAGACAACTGATAAATATATCTATTGTAGTGCTAGACGATTGATAAATATATTTATTATAGTGCTAGACAACTGTTAAATATATCTATTGTAGTGCTAGACAACTGTTAAATATATCTATTGTAGTGCTAGACAACTGATAAATATATCTATTGTAGTGCTAGACAACTGATAAATATATTTATTATAGTGCTAGACAACTGTTAAATATATCTAATTGTAGTACTAGACAACTGATAAATATATTCATTATAGTGCTAGACAACTGTTAAATATATCTATTATAGTGCTAGACAACTGATAAATATATCTATTGTAGTGCTAGACAACTGATAAATATATTTATCGTAGTGCTAGACAACTGATACATACATTTATTACAGTGCTAGAAAACTGATAAATACATTTATTGTAGTGCTAGACAACTGATAAATATATTTATTATAGTGCTAGACAACTGATAAATATATTTATGAAAGTGCTAGACAACTGTTAAATATATCTAATTGTAGTACTAGACAACTGATAAATACATTTATTGTAGTGCTAGAAAACTGATAAATATATTCATTATAGTGCTAGACAACTGTTAAATATATCTATTGTAGTGCTAGACAACTGATAAATATAATTATTGTAGTGCTAGACAACTGATAAAAATATTTATTGTAGTGCTAGACGATTGATAAATATATTTATTATATTGCTAGACAACTGATAAATACATTTATTGTAGTGCTAGAAAACTGATAAAAATATTTATTGTAGTGCTAGACAACTGATAAATACATTTATTGTAGTGCTAGAAAACTGATAAATATATTCATTATAGTGCTAGACAACTGATAAATATATTTATTATAGTGCTAGACAACTGTTAAATATATCTATTGTAGTGCTAGACAACTGTTAAATATATCTATTATAGTGCTAGACTTGCTAGACAACTGATAAATATATCTATTATAGTGCTAGACAAATTATAAATACATGTATTTTAGTTGCTAGACAACTGATAAATATATCTATTATAGTGCTAGACAACTGATAAATATATCTATTGTAGTGCTAGACAACTGTAAAATATATTTATTGTAGTGCTAGACAACTGATAAATATATCTATTATAGTGCTAGAGAACTGATAAATATATTTATTAAAGTGCTCGACAATTGATAAATATATTTTTTATAGTGCTAGGCAACTGGTAAATATATTTATTGTAGTGCTAGACAACTGATAAATATATTTGTACAGTCCCAGACAACTAATAATATATTTATTACAGTGCCAGACAACTAATAAATATATTTATTTAAGTGCCAGACAACGAAATATATTTATTACAGTGCCAGACAACGAATAAATATATTTATTACAGTGCCGAACAACGAATAAATATATTTATTTCAGTGCCAGACAACTAATAAATATATTTATTTCAGTGCCAGACAACTAATACATATATTTATTACAGTGCCAGACAACTAATAAATATATTTTTTTTCAGTGCCAGACAACGAATAAATATATTTATTTCAGTGCTAGACAATTGATAAATATATTTTTTAAGTGCCAGACAACTGAAATAAATGTTTATTACAGTGCTAGACCTTGAAAATGCTAACATGTACGCACCTAACATCTTAAAGGAAAATGATTTACAAAAGGAGGGAATAATTAACACTTACCTTAGTTACAGCTTGTGGCCAGAGAAACCATAATTTTTTAGTTTTCCGATCATGCTTCTGCAGGAAACAATGCTGATTGATTTGAAAGTTTGTATTCTTAAGAATATGGGAGGCTAGAGCACCTTCCATATACACAGGACCAATCTTTACAGAACCTTAACACAGTTCATATCAAGGATGTATAATAATATACAGTTTTCCACGGATCAAAACACCAACTTAAAAACCTACTAAAAATTTACTTTTTGCTCAAAACACATTCCTCAACTATTTACTAATGAGTGAGTAAATCTTCAGAATATGTTCATGACCTGGATCCTGATCCATTATTTTACAGGGCGGATCCACATCCAATTTTTTACAGGGCGAATTCGGATTCTCATCCAATGATAAGTTGATTTACAAGCTTATACCAATGCTAACAACAAATAAGATTTTCTAATTGGCCGCTCCTATTCCACAATTTCATGGGTCATTCTGTAGAATATTTAGAAAACTGTTCAATTACAAAGTTTGTGTTTTAATATAACAAATTTTCATTATCCATACCCTCTTCAATATCTAGCTTAATAAGTTCAATATCTAGCTTAATAAGTTCAATACCNGGGACTGTTCACCCTTTTCTGGTTCAGTCCGGAATACAACAATATCTAGCTTAATAAGTTCAATACCTAGCTTAATAAGTTCAATATCTAGCTTAATAAGTTCAAAGCTAGCTTCTCATTCTTATCTAATTCTTATCTAATGATTGCAAATAATTCGTTAAATATAAATATCAAAATACTTTGTCATTTGGTTTAAGGCATTTCGCAATAATTGCTTATTCAATATTTATATAAATTTATTGAGAACATCTTTCCTATAAAGACGGAAAAAAATATAAATTTCCTACTTTGAAGTACTTTAATATGTGCATTCATTCACAGTTAGAGAACAATTTTAACCAATTCGGATTTTATTTTTAAACTTAATTTTTTCTTTCTTAGGATTTAAATTTTCTTCTAAAATATTTTAAATTTATTGAACTTACTAAATTATATTTAAATATGCAAACTGTAATTATCAAATCCTTTTATTTTTACAACCTAATGGTCCATGGTTTAGACCATTAGGTTGTAAAGATATCAGGATTTAATAATTACATATTTGATATTTGACATTTTAGTCTACTCTAGGCTATAAGGACTAACCTGATTCGACCCATATATCTGGATGATGAAGATGAGAGGAATCAAATCTATTGGATTTCTGATTTGAAGATATATATTGATGGAACTGGATATTGTTCACAATAGCAGTAATGCCCTGAAAACATATATATACCTATAAATATATATATATATATATAAATATAAATATATAAATATATATATAAACAGACTTACTTGAAGTTGTAGTCTCCGTTCTCATTTGGTGGGTTGTTTAGGAGACCTAGAGCTGGAGCGGTTCCACCGGTTTNTCAACACTCACACGGAACATCTAAACATTGTAAACATTGCAGTACACTTCTCTACTATGTTGATATCAACAAGATCAACACTCACACGGAACATCTAAACATTGTAAACATTGCAGTACACTTCTCTACTATGTTGATATCAACAAGATCAACATTCACACGGAACATCTAAACATCTAAAAAAATGGCATGTAGAATTCATAAAGATACCCTTTAACATTCTCTAAAACCTGTAATTTTTGGACCTATTTGATAATTATAGAATATTACCTAATTTTCTTTGTACTTAATAAGTTCTCTAATTGGAGAAAAATTGTAGGCCATTCATTAACTTTCTTATTTTCAACATAAATTAGCAACAAATGTATCAAAACTCCATTCTAACCAGGGGCAGTATATGGAAATGTTCCAGAGGGCGGGGGGAAGGGGGGGATAATGAAAGAATAAGTAAATGTCTACCCATGAAATTCCGTCATATTCAAAATAGAGACATGGACAGGGGGGGGGGGGCGATGCACCCTTTCCATTTCTCCATTAAAAGCATTATCTTTAAAGAAACAAATTACTAAATTACTGATTATTGATTTTAAAAATTCATTTCAAAATCAAAATATCTAAATATCTAGATTTAGAAATTATCCTGCCGACTTGTACATTGCACCCCAAGATTTTCTAGGGGGAATGTCCCCATCCCCGCCCCCACCCATTTAATAATAATAATATTACTATTATTATAAACCCTAACCCATGAGATGCTACCTTCCTTGTATGTAGATGTACAGTGTGTAAAGTATGGATATGATTTATTACCGGTTCTTATAAAGGAAATTCATAAATCAAAATAAATCTGACAAACACCATTAAGAAATCAACTCAATATCCCAGTATCAGGGGTGTATATCCCAGTATCAGGGGTGTATATCCCAGTATCAGGGGTGTATATCCCAGTATCAGGGGTGTATATTTTATTCGTACAGTCGTCTCTGAAATCTCATCTTTAAAGGCAACCCTGTTTGTTTCCTCTACCACTGAAATCATTTCATTAATTATAAGAAGAAAATGAGAATTTCAAAAATTTAATCTTACATATTTATGGAAGGAATTGACTATGAAAAAGAAAACATCATTTTAAACTTCAGTTAAAACTGTAATTCTTTTGAATCCATTTTTAAATATATTATATAATATACCTTAAAGTTCTAACCTCTGACCTTTGACATAACTCTCGGATTGTTAAATATATTATATATAAATTCAAATTAATAATGATAATAAAACCAATTTTATCCATCAAAATCTCGAATTTCTCTCTTAAAAATTCTATTTGTAGGATTTTATCATCTCGAATTTCTTGTTCTTCATGAATTTAAAGCATCTGACGAGACACTTTATTACACTGCATTGCATTCATAGACAGATAGTACACTGTATACATTAAACTTGTACTCAAGTTCTAGTACCGTAGTACATAAACGTTCTGATGGTACATCATTTAGTACATAATTCCTGTTTACCTAGTACTTGAGTTCTGGTACTGTAGTACATAAAACGTCCTTATGGTACATAAATTAGTACATAATTCCTGTTTACCTAATACTTAAATTCTGGTACAGTAGTACATAAAACGTTCTGATGGTACGTAATTTAGAACATAATTCCTGTTAACCTAGTACTTGAGTTCTGGTACAGTAGAACATAAAACGTCCTGATGGTACATAATTTAGTACATAATTCCTGTTTACCTTGTACCTGAGTTCTGGTACAGTAGTACATAAAACTTCCTGATGGTATATAATTTAGTACATAATTCCTGTTTACCTTGTACTTGAGTTCTGGTACAGTAGAACATAAAACTTCCTGATGGTACATCATTTAGTACATAATTCCTGTTTACCTTGTACTTGAGTTCTGGCACAGTAGTACATAAAACTTCCTGATGGTATATAATTTAGTACATAAGATAAGATAAAGTTTATTGCTAAAATAAATGTATCTGTATACAGCTAGAGTTTACAATCACAAAATTGATGATTATATTAACAGTACAAGTATAAAGCAATTAGGTGGAAAATAGCTCTTGGCTGTTTTGATTATTTTTTCCACCTAATGTTAGTAATAATAACAAAATATTTCAATTAAATAGATTTAAAAAGAACGATTAGAGATCAGGGTGCCAATTTATAATATGCAAAATAGTTTATACATAAATTCGAATAACCTGTTTACCTACTACTTGAGTTCTGGTACAGTAGAACATAAAACGTCCTGATGGTACGTAATTTAGTACATAATTCCTGTTTACCTACTACTTGAGTTCTGGTACAGTAGTACATAAAACGTCCTGATGGTACGTAATTTAGTACATAATTCCTGTTTACCTAATACTTGAGTTCTGGTACAGAAGTACATAAAACGTCCTGATGGTATATAAATTAGTACATAATTCCTGTTTACCTTGTACTTGAGTTCAGGCACAGTAGGGCATAAAACGTCCTGATGAGACTCTATGCAGTCCTTTTGTTTCCGATCGTGTTGACAGATCTTGTAAGGTCGAGGATGCTTCATCACATTCTCCTAGAACTCGTCACACCAACTTCAACTTGTATTTTAAACTTGAAAACGTGTAAGAAGTAAAAGTAAGTTCGTGAACAAATATTAAAGGTCGTCGTTTCACTTTCCACCTTTTTTCCCTACTTGTCACTTAAAGATAGATAGATACTTAAAGAGACTGTCATCGTAATTTCAAGTGACTCCCTATGCAAAGATGGCGATGTCTGATCAAGTATGAATTAGATATCCATGTTTTTATTTCTTTAAACTGTTTTCATTTGCAGTTTCTCTGCTAAAATGACTCAAAAGAAGCAAAGTATCCTAGTTAAACACGGTAAGATGAGAAAAATGACGATATATTCCACATTTTGAATGAAATTAATGGAGGATTACTTGAAATTAACCTTACAGTCCATTAAACCAATCAGATTTAAGAGAATGCCAGGCCGGGGTACATGTTCTTTATCAAAACTACTTATGAGTTTTGGCCGGCAATTAAGGTTTTATGGGTGCCGTTGTTAAACGGGTATTGCCTCTTTGCATGGAGAGTCACTTGAAATTAACCTTACAGTCCCTTAAACCAATCAGATTTAAGAGAATGCCAGGCCGGGGTACATGTCAAAACTACTTCTTAGTTTTGGCCGGAAATTAAGAATTTGTTTCCGGTTCCTTTTCAATTTGTTAACAATACTAAACAAAATCCATGTTGAACATACAAGAGTCGAGAGATAGGAAAATGCCAATGACCACGCGCATTGAGCAAAACGCAGCATGACCATAATTAATAAAATATGTGCTGAAAATTTGCATAAATCTAATAGATAATGTATTATCCTTACTCCTATCAAGAGTTACCAGCTCTGAGCCTCTAAGTCATAAATTGAAATATAAAAATACTAGTTTAAATAGTTTTTAAATTTCAATTTTAAAATAGATTTGGAAAAATTGAAAACAGCTAAGGTAAAACACTTATACAACACAAACAATAAAACCTTTAATTGGAAACTCTTAAATAAATTTTAAAATCCATGTAAGGGCTTAATGTAGGTTGGTTTTAATTTTGAATCAAACTAAAGGAACTACAATCGCTACAAATTATAATTTTCTAATCCTTATATTTTACAACCTTATGACGGAGACTTTTCATATTTCAAACTGTAAATTCTGCTGGATCATTTAATAAAAGTTAGAAATATCTAAGGTTTGCAACACCAAGGACCAGATTTATTGGATAGCAATACGTAGTTGAATTACATCCACTTCTCTTCAACTTGAACCGGCGCACAAAAGAAAAGGGTTTAACTACCTCTACATATTTAAACTACAATCTAATTGCCCCAGGTTGGAAAGATATATAGGGATTCAAAGATTTGTTTTATTTAGTTAAAAACTGAACATATGTTAAGCCTTACATGGATTGCAAATTGTTTGAAAGAATTAAAAAAGTCAAAGATAAAAAAATGTCAAAGATAAAAAATGTCAAAGATAAAAAAAATGTCAAAGATAAAATATGTTGGTCTGTGATTCCTTGTCAGCGGTGAGATAGATGAGTGTCTCTAGGCTCATCACTAGGTTGTAGATCTGGGGGATAGTCACCTAGTTCATTATCATTATCATTATCATTATCATTATCAGTTTCATTATCATTTTTTAAAAACAAAAAAAAGTTTTGAAAAAATAATAAGATACGTAAATAACCCAAAAAGGCAGCCTAAAATAATGTTAAGATTAAAGTTAGTTTGCCATAATATAATAATTTCTTTTCTCCAATGATACCCTTATTTAGGGTCCTTGCCTCTTGGAGATTTAAATTTGGAAATATTATAATATACAGATAATTTTACATTATAGCACGATGATTAATTTTTATCATGGTGCTATAATATAAAGTTAATTTAACTTAATAGCACGCCAATTAGTTTATTGCACTTCAATAATAAAGTTTACCATGAAGTGAGTATGAATGATAAAGAACACAATAGTTTTAAATAAACATAAACAAACCTTCCCGAGGAGGTTCCCGCAGGTCAGCTCCATCAGCCAGGTATACTCCAGAGTCTCAGCTCCTAGCTCTCGGTCAAGCTCGGAGAACATCGCGTGACCGCGGAATTGAAGACCGGTCAACAGTAGGTTACCTAGGAAACAAATACTGTCATTAAACAACGTGGCAAATAATTAAAAATCGTTTTTAGTCTGCACGGCAAGCGTTAGTAAATTGGAGGTTTCTCTGTGAGTGTGAAATACTTTGTAATCAGCCATATATTTGATATCTGATGTATTTATTAACTCAAACTATTTTTCCCCTCCCAACAATCTATTGTGAACCTAGCTAAATAAAAAAATAAAACCTACACATCTGGTGACCCGAAGTTAGTTTCTTTGAGGTCCAATCATATCAGAAGTTACAAAGAGCTTCGCTTGACCAACACTAGATCGCGAAAATACTAGTCAACTGTTATCAGTTGATCGGTAGTTTACGCTATGAAGTATGAAGTATGAATATAGATGTTCAGTTCAGGTGTCTTAGACAAGACTATAGATAAATAAATAAACATAGATAGCTTATGTACGAAAAATCAAATAGCTACGTACAATTTTGTATAATTAGTTCAGAAATGTCTTCTTATGCGAAATCTATCTTTATCTAAGAACAAGACCAAAAAAAAAGATGACAATTTATTTAATCTTCTTTTCATTCAATGATTAAAGGAAGTGACCGGCAATGTACGATTTTTTTAGAATTCATTTGAGACATATAAAACGTTTTGATGATAAATAAGTACTGAGTTTGAACGCAAAGTCGACGTTCAATATCATCCATTTGGGTGAATACTTCTGAGCATCGATTTTTTCAAAATTATGAAATAACGACGACAAAAAATGTAAAAAAAAATTCTTCCATGTACTTATTAGATGTTTAAGAACATATTTCTCAATTAAAATTTTCTCAATAAATCAATGTCAGAATCAATTATTTCTTTTTCATCATAATATTGATTTTCTTAATTTCACGAATTTGTTCGCAGATTTCTTTAAATTCTTTAAATGTCGTCTTTTCAATAAAAATACCAAGAAATCTACAGAAAATGTTTGTGAACAATGAGACATTACAGAAACTAATAACTGAATAAGATTACTTATTTTCGATATTAAGAGTTAATTTTTATTTTCTCAACCTGTTCCTAAACAACTAATTAGTTTACTGTAAGTAAAAACCCTTGGTTTCCCTCCTTTGGACAAAACAAATATAATCTCACTCCATGCACAAAATCCTGTATACGCCCTTGTTCGCATAAATTCTACAAAAGTTAGTCTACTGTCTTAAAATCAGAACAACTGAAGGCAATTGTTAAAAAAACTAGATACTTCAGTAACATTTAAATGAAAATAAAAATTGTTTCCTCCTTGCGCAGCTGTACATTTCTGCAAGTAGAAATCAAAAATTTCAAGTTTCAGATAGAAGCAAGGATATGTTCGTTATTCTCTATGTAGTTACGCGTTGATTCCCATATATTCAAAGAGATCCATTACCTTGTCTTGTAGTATAAGAATCCTCTCTGTCCGTTGACTCCCATATATTTAAAGAGATCTATTACCTTGTCTTGTAGTATCAGAATCCTCTTTGTCCGTTGATTCCCATATATTAAAAGAGATCTATTACCTTGTCTTGTAGTATCAGAATCCTCTTTGTTTGCTGATTTCTCGACAAGATCTGATACCTTAACATCATTAGTAGGTTTTCAATTCGCTCTTTAGTTGTGACAAATTTTGCCAAATACTACTCATAAACCGAAACAAGAAAGAAGGGCTATAATCTTGTAATCTTGAGCGCCAAAAAAATATACAAAGCCAAGGGCCAAGGCCTGGTGACTCTTCAAAGTCTGTCCGGTTTCAATATTTAATGCATAATTTTCATTGCTCAATAAATCGCTGCGGTAACAGACACACAGTGAATAGGATCAATATAATTTTGATGCGGATCCGGATCTTTATCCTGGAATAAAATGGACCTTGAGTAGGACGGGTTTCTATGAATGATTAATCCTACCTTAAGAAGGACTGGTGAGAGTAGGAGCTGTAGCCTGGTTTCTCTAAATGATTTATCCATCTCAAAAACCAGTTTTTCTACGCATAAAACTGGACAGGGAGGTTCCGACGGAGAACAATATTTCACCAGGTTCGCCTGAAAATAAATCATATCTTAATAGGCGTTACTAAACTTTTTTGAAATCTAGAAATTCTGCCCAGCTGTGCTAAAACAGAACTTTTGACAAAGTTATGTTAAAAAGTAAAGTTGTTGGAAATATCAAAACCAATTTATTTTTTTAACAAAAATTGATAAAATTTAACAGTAGATGCTAAATCAGTTCTTTGTCCATTTTCCTTATATTCACTGAACCAAAAGTGTTTGCAGATTTCATAGAGGCATTTTCCCAAACATTTGAAACCAAGATGAGGATGTGAAGAAAGCGAAGTTTAAGCATATGGACTAGGTTTAGGATAATAATATGGACTAGTATGATGATAATAATATGGACTAGTATGAGGATAATAACATGGACTAGTATGAGGATAATAATATGGACTAGTATGAGGATATTAATACGGGCTAGTATGAGGATAGGAGTTTGCACTAGTATTAGATGGTGATGATGAAAGGAATGATGACGATGAGTACAGTTACCTGAAGATCATGAACGGTCATGTCAAGTATAACGTTGAGAGGACGATAATCTCGTGGATCAAACTCTTTAGTCTTCTTCTCCACCTTGCTCTCTTTACTCTCCACAACCTGGAAATTAAAGGGAGTGTTCACCCATTCAAAATACACATGATACTCATATTTTTGATTTTAGAAAAACAACCAAGGCTAGCTTGGTATTCCTCTACACCCTAAATTTTAATTTATCTCTTCGTTAGTGTCTCTGTTATCACCCTGCCACAGATCACCTGACAATCTCCTACCTTCAAATCCTTACCTTTCCCAAAACATACGTGAATTTGATTTGCGTATCCAATTATATTCATTGTCGTTAACTATCTTAGGGCCTACCGATCAAAACAACCTAACCTGGTTAGGCGGGTCCAAATTGCATAATAAATTGTGATAGCTTTGTAATAAAATATGCTTTGTAATTGTATAAAAATATAAAAAAAAAATATGGCAGTTGCCAAAAGGAGTTACGCGCACTTGCCGCGTTGAATTACAAGAATGAGAGAGGTTAGTATATACAGGGTGTCCCACATCAAATTAGACCGCGTCAATGGGTTTAAATTACAATTTGAGGGATAAATCAGAAAATTTAAGGAAAATGAATCATTTAAAAAAAATTTAATGAGGCTAATAGAATTTTTTTTTTGCAGAAAATGCTAGATTTTTGAGTATTATGTGCGTATTTTGGCGTCGAAGATTGGAGATAATCTTATATGATATGGGAGGCTCTGTAATTCAGGGTTAGGTTGGGTTCAGACACTTTCTGGGCCGAGCGCTGCGGCTAGGACAAGCTAGAGGGCCGAGCGCCGCGGCTAGACCAGGCTCTCTCCCTCTCTGTTTTGCAATTCAGCGCGGCATGCGCGTCATTTTTTTAAGGCTTCTGCTTCTAGGATATGTAGATGCCGGATGTGGCCTGGTTTTTACCTGCTCATCCATAGGTGTATAACGCTGATCCTCTCCGAATAGGTTCTCTTTCACGTGCATAAAGTTTCTGACAAAAAAATATAACATTTTAAAAAAATGTCTAAAAGATTAAAACATCACATTATATTCAATTTAACTTTTACTGAGTGTATCAGCTTATTTCTTAATGAACATAATGTAAGTAAATCTTCAAACTTTTCAAAATGTCCAGAAACTAGATTTTACTGTTCTGGCCGGCACATCTCAAGCCTTTATTTTCTTAAGACTTTATTATTTTCTTTATAATTTAGGAAAAAGGGTAAAAGCTTATATTAAAAAAAGTTCATGTAATTCTATTTCTCTTGACGAATCTTATTAAAATATTCGACGAAAACTAGTTCAATCCTTATTGTAAGACTTGTATTTTGTTAATTGTTGAAATATAAAATTTAATATTAAATGAATGTGTTTGTATTTAACCTGATCAAGGTCCCATACAGGAAAACTAGACTAGGCCCAACCTCTAGTTCTACCTAAACAATATTAAAAAATAAATATATGCAAATTTAAAAATGTTTTTTTTAAACATTAACAAAGAAAGATTTTGGAGATTTTCGTGTTTCTCATATGGATTTATCAGATTTCAATTTGTTAAAGCGATTATTTTTCGCCGAAAGCCTATACCCTCTTTCGTTTTTCGCGAACACTCCCTTTAAGAAGCAAAAATTGACCATCCTACATAAGCTACCCCTTTAGCCCAGTGAGGTGACAGTCGGAGGTAACGTCAAGAAAAATTGTAAAAAAAGTAAGAATTTTTAAGAGGGTCGGGGAGGGGGGGGGAGGTTTAAAAACATTATATTTATATATCGTGTGAATTATACCTTGCATAAATCTGGTTCTAAGCTTTCTGGATCAAAGGGGGGCAGTTCCTCTCCTATTTCAACAGGAACCTGAACATTATACAAAAAAACTATGAACTATGAACACTGAACAGTGACAATGAACAAATGCACTAATGAACTAAGAAACAATGAACATTGAACAATGTGCAATGGTAATCAATAGATAAGATTAAGGAAACATAGTAAGCAAGATCAGATCGCGTTAAACAAATGTTTATAGGGTAAACACATATGTCAAGTTTTTAACGATAAGACAACGGCGCAACACAAGACGTTGGGAATAACCTTTTTATCAGCCTTGTGCAAAACAAAAAATAGAAAGACTTCGAAAACGAACTGGAAACAGGTTTACTGATATATCGTATTTTTGTATGCGTGTGCTTACGGCCACAACCCTAAAAATAAAAATATTTTAAAGTAAAAAATGAACAATGTTCGAAAAGATTAATGAAATATGAACAATAAGAAATAACCAATACAAGAAACAGTAAACATTAAAAAATATATGAATAAACATTATAAAATAAACATTAATCATTAAAAAATAAATAAATCAATATTATAAAATAAACAGTAAACATTAAAAAATAAATGAAAAAACATTATAAAATAAATAAACATTAAACAAAATACAACAAACACATAAAAGCAATACAAAAACAGCAACAAATAATTAGAAAGAAGTAAACTATAAAGTAAAAAAATGAAGAATTGTAAATCCATTTTCTTCTATTAGAAAATAAAATTAAAAAAGGTTAAACCCCGTCCAATCTAATAAAAATAATGAAAGGTAAATATTTGATGTTGGGCAATAAGCAAGATTTTGTTCTAAATATTAGATATAATAAAATATTAATAAAACAATCCAATTCACCCGTTAATCAAAGGCTACAAAGGGAATACAAATTTCAAAGAAGTTAAAATTATTGTTTGATTTACTTTAAAGACCAAGAAAGACAAAAACTTTACTAAAAATAACAGCTTTAAAAGAGTTAAAGGGAATGTCAATGTAATTTCAAGTGACCATAATACAAATCTAATGGTACAAAAACATTGCTGCAGTATACAGAAAAGCAAAGACGTCATTCATTCCAGTTTTCTGATTCTGAAGTGCAGAGCAGTACAGTACAGTACAGTACAGTACAGTACAGTACAGTACAGTACAGTACAGTACTTTACAGTACTTTACAGTAGTTTAGTACTTAAAAGTACACTGCAATAGCAAATAGGATAACAATACATTACAACAGGATTTAAATTTAAATCCTAGTTCTTCTGTACCCCAGGCTTTCCTCTTTCTGAAGAGCAACCTCGCGTGATTATACTAGTAAAGGTTAGGTTAGTTTTTTCAAAAGGAGGAAGATGAGCAAAGGGTGGGGGGGGGGTCCAATGCACATTTAATAAAAACAATTTGTCTTTTAACCTAATGAAGTCGTACCTGTCTGTCTTGTCCAGGATAATGATGGTCACCATCTACTGGTCGGAGAGGACCAAGGAGAACCTGTTCTCGTTCAGGGGTTCCAATATCCGCCTAGAAACAAGAAGTACAGTGATAACCATAAATCTTTGGAAAAATAGTACTCTGCGTACTTTTTTATCATTAAGGATTTTACAATTACAGTGCTTATATTTTTCAAAATCATTACAATGACCCTCCCTCCCCCTCCACTCTTAAAAAGCTTTCGTTTGTTCCAAAAGTTGGGGTTTTTTTTACGCAACAATTTGTTAAGAGGTTTGGGTGAAAAAAAAAGTATCCAAAATCATTGAAAAACTTGCCTTCTGTGGTCAAATTTCATAGTCTAGGTCCTGGAATGGGAGTAGGATGAAATCCACTGTACCTGTGCTCTAGGTCCTGCTCCTGGTATAGGAGTAGGATGGAATGGAATAAACTGTATCTGTGCTCTGGGTTCTGGTATAGGAGAAGGATGGAATCCAATGTACCTATTCTCTAAGTCCTAGTACAGGAGTAGGAGAGAATCCACTATACCTATGCTCTAGGTCCTGCTCCTGGTATAGGAGTAGGATGAAATGGAACAAACTGTATCTGTGCTCTGGGTTCTGGTATAGGAGTAGGATGGAATCCAATGTACCTATGCTCTGAGTCCTAGTATAGGAGTAGGAGAGAATCCACTATACCAATGCTCTAGGTTCTGCTCCTGGTATAGGAGTAGGATGGAATCCAATGTACCTATGCTCTAAGTCCTAGTATAGGAGTAGGAGAGAATCCACTATACATATGCTCTAGATTCTTCTCCTGGTATAGGAGTAGGATGGAATCCAATGTACCTATGCTCTAAGTCCTAGTATAGGAGTAGGATAGAATCCACTATACCTATGATCTAGATTCTTCTACTGGTATAGGAGTAGGATGGAATCCAATGTACCTATGCTCTAAGTCCTAGTATAGGAGTAGGAGAGAATCCACTATACATATGCTCTAGGTCCTGCTCCTGGTATAGGAGTAGGATGGAATCCAATGTACCTATGCTCTAAGTCCTAGTATAGGAGTAGGATGGAATCCAGTGTACCTGTGCTCTAGGTCCTGGTATAGGAGTAGGATGGAATCCAATGTACCTATGCTCTAAATCCTATAAAAGGAGTAGGAGAGAATCCACTATACATATGCTCTAGATTCTGCTCCTGGTATAGGAGTAGGATGGAATCCACTGTACCTGTGCTCTAGGTCCTAGTAAAGGAGTAGGATGGAATCCACTGTACCTGTGCTCTAGGTCCTGTATAGGAGTAGGATGGAATCCACTGTACCTGAGCTCTAGGTCCTGGTATAGGAGTAGGATGGAATCCAATGTACCTGTGCTCTAGGTCCTGGTATAGGAGTAGGATGGAATCCACTGTACCTGTGCTCTAGGTCCTGTATAGGAGTAGGATGGAATCCACTGTACCTGTGCTCTAGGTCCTGTATAGGAGTAGGATGGAATCCACTGTACCTGTGCTCTAGGTCCTGGTAAAGGATAGGGATGAAATACACTGTACCAGTGCTCTGGGTTCTGGTATAAAAGAAGGATGGGAATGTACCTGTGCTTTAGGTCCAGGTATAGGAGTAGGATGGAAGAGAAATGAGATGGATAATACAAGATTAGGAACACACCAGCAGTCTATCCAACCCTCTGCAATATCAAATCAATATAAATATTAATCAAAAACTGCTACTGGTTGATGGTTCAGAAACAGGAAAAGATCGAAACGAAAATGCATTCAATTTCAATTTCAGCTTACAAAAACGGGTTTCGTCACCAATGATGTTTTTGAACTCGACTTTGCGATTTTCACCGTTCAGGTTGATCAATATTTGAACTTAACAATAACAAGGTCTTTTCTTTAATTATTTTCATATTTGATTGATAACGACTTAAAAAAGATGATCAAATAACGTTGCATTTTCAAAATAACTTTTTCCAGTTTTGTATCTTTTCTTAAAAAAAAATAATTTCCCCCGTCCCCCTCGCCTTTCGAAAATCCTTTATTTTCTCCAAAAAGTTAGGTACGATTGCGAGGATTTTTTAGGATTGTATTTGCTGAGTCAAGGAAAATGAACGATTTTTAGGAAAACATATTTTTTGGGAGTAGAATAAAAAAAACTTGCATTTTGATGTTCAATTTTTAATATCATTTCCCAGGGAGTAGGGGTAATTCTTAAAAATATACTCCCCTGACTTTATTTAAATTTAAAAACCTGTATAATCACATCTTCTTCTCCAGTTACCAGCTTGTAAATCTTTCTTCCAGCCTATGCTACCATCCCTAAACTCCAACAGATGTAAACAGAATAATTAGGATCATAGAAACAGTTATCACATTAAACTCATTCAATCCTCTCTGCTCAATCATTTAGACGTTCTTGAATCAATTCTGTTTTAACAAAGTTTAACTAATTTCTCAGATTTTTAAATCTTGTAAATAAATCTTTGTATTTGATGTAACAGACAAAAAGAACAGAAGAGCTTACTAATCTATAAACAGAAGTCAGAATTAACATAGTTCAACTACATACTGACATTTTAACTACGTATCTAGTGCAACTAAAGGGTGATTCTAAAAAAAACACACAAGATGGTAAAACTCAAAATTAACCAATAAAATAAGATAGAAGATGGCTAAAAATCCAATAAATATTAAGAACAGGATCCTTTAAGGCTAATTGATGGGGGAAAAAAATGACAAAAACATCTTGAAAACACTGATCAAGGTTTGTATTCAAAATACTAAATAAGCCAGTGCTGGAGAAATAATAAAGTGATTATTTTCTGGTATATACCATGTTTTTAGTCGAAAACCCATCACACAAACAACATCTTAAGCTTCATTTTTTCATATCTAATACAAAAAAATGAAAATGGCATGAAAAGTAGTCTGTTTTTACAAACTGACGGGCAATGAAAATCAATAACTTCAAAAAGAAAGATTGGTTTGGTGGTAATTTAATAATAATAACATGCGCATGAGTATGAAGAGTAAGTATTTTCAATGAAATTGTGGCGTAAATATAAAAATCTCGATTTAAACCATAATTTAAGTAATCAAAGTCAAAATAGTGACCTGGGATGATAGAGCTACATTCAAAGGAGCTGAAAGTATTAAATGATAAGCTTTTTAAAAATTGTGATTTAACCCTGAATAAAGATACACAGAGAATTTGATTTTGTGGGCGTTTACCGGCTTTTATTCCATGTAAAATACCGTTTGTTCTCTGATAAAAATGGGAGTCAGATCTATAAAAGAGACTAACGAGTGATATAAAAACATAAAGTAAAGGTTATATGCAAACTTTTTAGATTGGTACGTTTTTAATCTTTTGATTCACCGCCTGCAGCCCCGATAAATAAAAATTTGCATTTTGTGTGTTTTTTTAGAATCACCCTTTATCTACACATAGTTAAACTACTTATAGCTTTTTAATAAATCCAACCTAGGGGCTTTCAGGGACTGTAAGCGTAATTTCATGTGACCCACCATGCAAAGATGGCAATGCCCGATGTACAACCGTAACATTAAAACTTTAATCTGATCAAAAATGTGGAAGATATCGTCGCTTTCCATACTGTTAAGTGTTTAATTCTGATAATTTCTCTTTTAAGCAAGAAATGCGGAAGTAATTTTTGCAGAGAAACCGCAATGAAATAAAGAAATGGAAATCTCATTCTTACTTGATACAACAAAGCTTTTAAGGTACAGTGGTAAATCGGGCAATGTCATGTTTGAGTGGAGGGCAACTAGAGAATTCGCTTGCAGTCCCTTTAACCCTGCTATATACTGAGATGTGAGCCTCAAGGGGGGGGGGGTGCCTGTTTATCTTGAATATATCTGTTTCCTGTTGACGAACTTAACCTCAGGGTCTAGGGTTGTGAGGATGTGATGGCTGGTGAACGTGTCCGGGAGGTGCAGGACTAACTCCATGTTCTCTCCAGATACCTGGATAATATTATTTTACAGTGGGAACCATACAAATGTTTAATAGGAAGACGACATTTAGGCAATCTTTTGTGCATTTGATATGCTTCACATTTTATATTTTTACCAGGAACGTAAATAATTCAATTAAATCTAAAACTTATCATTCAGATATTAAAATGTCAAATTCAATTCGATTCATATCATGTATATTATGGTGAAACAAGAAGAAGTGAATAATAAAATCAAAAGGTGCATAGGTTCTCTGGGTGATGTCAGCCCTTAGTATTAAAATACAAAAACATTATTGCTCTAACTTGATGAAATTAGGTGGAAGTATTTTTGAAAAAATCTGGATTTTTGTTCAGGAGGCAATTCGATACTCTGTAACAAAAAATGTTGTACATGCTGCATTTAGTTATACAAATTGAGATACAATGCTGAAATTTTACATTCAGCCTCCCCTCCCATTGGTGCCCTCTACCAGGATCACAAAGAAAATTTAGGATCGGAGGTCATTGACTTTTACCAACAATAAATATTTTGCCGAAAAACCGAAAACGACCTCAACCTGATGCAATGTTCCAATCAATCTCAAATGTTCATATTGGGCCACATCACCCATAGAATCTGTGCACCCAAAAAAAAAATGTCGAACCTCATTCGTGTGTATAAACAGGGGACATTAGTTCACTGAGTGTTAGAAATGGGCCAAGTGTTAGTTTTGGAACTAAGTTCCTCTGATATAGTTGATATTTCATAATATTCTATAGAAACATTGAATACGATTTTAAGTGGAACAACCCATATTTGAGCCGCGGCTCAAATTCTTTAAATTCTGCCTGTGATTACCTTGAAGAGAAAGAGAACGGATTCTGGAAGGAAGTGTGTATAGGGTAGGGAGAAGGATATTGACAACGATCTAATATTTGACAACAGTCAACAAATATTTAAATTAAATTGGAACATAACTCCTCTTCTGGAAGAGCTATTTAGAGGAACATCAAGGTTTTGAAATTGTTGAGAGTAACGGGATAAAGCTTTGCTTTCTAATACTTAAGCGTAAAATCAAAAATAACGGAGCTACGAGGTCACAAAGCTGTAATATTGCAAATTTTCTCTGTCTAGATTGTAGTGTATCGAGCAAAACGAATAACTTTGCAAGCACATGTTTGTTCTTTCGTTCAAAAATAAAAATAACAGTTAACAGTTCTAAAGCTTGCAAACTCGTTAAATGCAAAGGCGTCACCAAAAAAATCTTTTCTTTTGCAAAATTAGCCGAACCTGATGCAATTAGCCGAACAAGAAGAAAATGGAGATTTAGAAAAACATAAATGTCCAAATATTTGCAGCTGCTATCATCTAATTAGTTTTAGAATTTTGTTAAAAAAAAATATGTTAAAAAATTACACTGTTAACATTCCTGCCACATATTCCCATATGAGAGTTCTCAGGATAGGTGCTAGTTGTATCAATCCAGTTATACTCATTAGCTGTAGTTATACACTCAAACTCCTAGGAATACAGACATACTCATTAGCTGTAGTTATACACTCAAACTCCTAGGAATAAAGACATACTCATTAGCTGTAGTTATACACTCAAACTCCTAGGAGTACAGATATACTCATTAGCTGTAGTCATACACTCAAACTCCTAGGAATACAAACATACTCATTAGCTGTAGTTATACACTCAAACTCCCAGGAATACAGATATACTCATTAGCTGTAGTTATACACTCAAACTCCAAGGAATACAGATATACTCATTAGCTGTAAGTATACACTCAAACTCCTAGGAATACAGACATACTCATTAGCTGTACTTATACACTCAAACTCCTAGGAATACAGATATTATAGAAGTCTCAATAACTCAGAATGATAACATATTTTCACAAGTTTATTTATTCATATGTTACTCTTTTAACATACTAAGAATGACTAGTGTAAAATCCGAGATTGAACAAGTTTGCGAAATATCAGTGAAACTGTTTGCGCATTTATGCAAACTCAATTCTAATTTTAACATGTAGGACAAAATCATATTTTCTTATAACTAAAAGTCAGGCTTCTACAGTTCTCCCTCCCAAGTTTCAGGCATGGTGCAGCAGGNATAAATTCTCTCGTCGGGGTCACCAGTATAGAAGTCTCAATAACTCAGAATGATAACATATTTTCACAAGTTTATTTATTCATATGTCACTCGTTTAACATACTAAGAATGACTAGTGTAAAATCCGAGATTGAACAAGTTTGCGAAATATCAGTAAACTGTTTGCGCATTTAAGCAAACTCAATTCTAATTTTAACATTTAGGACAAAATCATATTTTCTTATAACTAAAAGTCAGGCTTCTAAAATATACTCATTAGCTGTAGTTATACACTCAAACTCCTAGGAATACAGACATACTCATTAGCTGTTGTTATACACTCAAACTTCCAGGAATACAGATATACTCATTAGCTGTAGTTATACACTCAATCTCCTAGGAATACAGATATACTCATTAGCTGTAGTTATACACTCAAACTCTTAAGAAACACCATTAAAGGTAAGGTAGGCTTAATAAAGTAAGACAATAAGTCAGAATGTCAATACGTCAGTAAGTCTATTAGAGTAAGTCCATGAGTCAGTAAGTCAGAAAGTGTGAGGATCTAACCCTGAGTAAGAACTTGAAGTTAAATGTATAAGAAACTATCCTTGAGTAAAAACTTGAAGTTCCATGTATAAGGAACTAACCTTGAGTAAGAACTTAAAGTTCCATGTGTAAGGAACTTACCTTGAGTAAGAACTTGAAGTGCCATGTATAAAAACCTTACCTTGAGTAAGAACTTGAAGTTCCATGTGTAAAGAACTAACCTTGAGTAAGATCTTGAAGTTTCATGTATCAGGAACTCCTTGAGTAAGAACTTGAAATTCCATGTGTAAGGAACTAACCTTGAGTAAGAACTTAAAGTTCCATGTATAAGGAACTTACCTTGAGTAAGAACTTAAAGTTCCATGTATAAGGAACTTACCTTGAGTAAGAACTTAAAGTTCCATGTATAAGGAACTTACCTTGAGTAAGAACTTGAAATTCCATGTATAAGGAACTAACCTTGAGTAAGAACTTAAAGTTCTATGTATAAGGAACTTACCTTGAGTAAGAACTTACTTGAGTAAGAACTTGAAATTCCATGTATAAGGAACTAACCTTGAGAAAGAACTTGAAATTCCATGTGTAAGGAACTAACCTTGAGTAAGAACTTGAAGTTCCATGTGTAAGGAACGAACCCTAGAAGATCAGGAGGAGATCTACTCGACCAATCCTCTACCAAATCCTATATATTTTTACAAAATAAATTGAAATAAAAAATATATAAATACTCAACAGTCAACCATCAATTTGTAGAAATCAAATACAATACAGAAAACACATTCATTTCTCTCTTCAGTCTTCACACACAAAAAAAAACATTCTTCGGCATTAATATATATATCTTTATTTCTTGTAAATGAAAGTACTTTACAAAGTACTTGAGCTGGGAAAAGAATATTTCAGTAATATGGGGAGAGAGAGGTCATATTTTTCATTTGCAATAATCTTTTTTTTCGACTTCTCTAAATAATAATACTATTTATAATCATGTGTTTGATTTTAAACATGTTCTTACTCATGAAAATTCTCCCCTCCCGTTTTTAAAATATTAAGTGAAAAATAAGTAGGGGTAGGGTAGGGGG